TTTTGTAATAAATTTTATTGTTCGATAAAATTAATAAAAACTGAAAAATTAGTAAAAACTGAAAAAAATTGACAATGGCAAGACAAGTTATATCCAAGTACTTTTTATTACCTTTTGATAAAAAGGTACCTAGATAATTCAAGTTAAATACAAACAGCTAAAAAGCAAAACATGCTATAACTTAAGAAATATGCAAATATAATTTATTACAGTATTTACTACTAATTGAAGAGCACACTGGAAAAATAATGAAAGTACCAAAGGGGGGAGGAGCCTACACCTTTTGATACCTAAATAAACGGGAATATCGATAACGGCCACTTAGAACCAGGACGATATAAAAGTCCATGCGTAATTTGAATTAAAAAAAAACGGTTTCCTGAACATTTATCCCCCCATTTCTGGATACTCATCGTTTTTCCCATGTGCTCGTCAATTTTTATATTTACTGTTCCAAAAAATTTAGTAAAAACTCTAAAAAACTTGTCAATAGCAGAACAACTTGTATGCACGTATTTTTATTACCTAACGATAAAATTTGGACTTTCCAAGTAGGTAGTTAAAGTTAAATACAAACATCTAAAAAGTAAAACATGCTATTTAAAAAAATGCAAATATGTTAAAAAATAATTTAATATGCAGATGCACTTTGCAAACCGGTAAATACTGCAAAATCCAAAACATAATAGTAAAGTATCTATTACTACTCTAAAATATCTACTAAAATAATAAACTAATTGTTAAAAATAAATATTTTGTGCATATTTCGAGTCAAATCTTTTCTTAATTTATATGTATATTTTTAAAACAATTTATTCATAGTTAGGTTTCCATAATTGTAATATACTTAATATGTCTAATACTTTAATTATTATATACTTAATATCCTATACTATATAAACAAATACCTTCCTTCATCTTTTGGACACCTAAAGAACGATATATTGTCTGTCATTCTACTTTTACAACCATCCACTGCACAAATATTTCTAGTAGACATTTTATTCACAATTTGAACAAAAGAACTAAAACACTATTTTTGGTTCACCCTATGCGTCGGACCGAAAACAAAACTAAAATAAACTTGGAACGCTGTGTACATGTCGAGCAACGGATGTAGACTGACCCAAGTCTACAAGACAGGCGGGGAGCGGCGGGAGGATTTTGATACGGGGGAAGAGTGGGTCAACTGATATATTTATATTCTTTAAACTGTTATACTATATACTTTAGGTTTGCAGTTAAACAAAATCCTCAAGTTTTTTGACGCACTATTGCCGAACCCTGTATAAAAAAAACCCATGTAACATCAAATCACCATCAAATCAATATGAAAAAAAGTCACTTTCCTTATTGCTATCAATGCGCAAACTGTATATTATTCGTTACAGTTTGCGGAAAAAATAATCACAAATATTTTATTAAAATAAAATAAGCTAAATTACAATATCCAAGCTTCCATAATTTGGTGTACGCATAAAATTTTCACCGCCGCGCTGGCGAAGCCGATACTAATGACATCCTGCATTTTACAAATTTTATAATTGGCGTTTTGGAGAGGCCCATTGTTCCATTTTCCATTCTAACGAGTGATATTGGAATTTTTCCAAAATTCCACGGCCTAATTGTGTTGGGGCTATCTGGTCATCCCCGGCCATTGTTCGCTGCCTATAACGTTTCTGGACGATAACGCAACCCAGGGACACACATAATAGATGAATATCCAATTTCCAGGCGCAAGTTATAATGCTGGTTTATCATTAAATTCAAAGGGTTGCCAGGTTTACGTATTCGCTCGTCCCCCCGAACCCCACAACTCCCGCAATGGCTAAATGAAGATTAAATCGTGTGCAGCAGACGTAGTGTGTATGTTATAATGGACAATTTCCAGGATAAAGGCGGGAGGTCCGGTCTCTCGTCAGATTCCATTCCTCTATTAATTCGCAACTCAATAACTATCAACAACACACTTACCTATATATTGAAGGCTCGCTATAGGTCATTATAATCTCTAATTTAATATCCTTTTTATTCACCATTCAAAAACGAATTTTAAATATCACTATCACTATTAATTAATTATGTTTATGATTATGATGATTATATTTTTTTCGACATTAGTGCTGCCATACATTTACAACCATATAAACCATTTCGCAATTTTAAAGATTTCTGTAACACGTGTTTCTATCGAAAATTAAAATAATAAAATACTTTATGAATATCGCAAACAGATGGCACCAGGGGGGTGACAGTAAACCGGAAAATTGGAAACAGTTCTGGCGCGGTCTTACCCAGGCAGAAAGCATGGCCTTCTAGACTGTCCTAGACAAAAATCTGAATATTTCTATATGATTTCTGTCAATTTCAGTTACGGAACATTTTTATGCACGTCGGCGTCCTCTTCTTTTGTCTGTGTGTCAGCCATGTGTCAACTCCCGAGGCCTCTGGCAAGGTCGGACGCCATTTTAATTTTTGCCGTTTTAAATTTGATTGGAAGTTTGTTTATGATATTTCGGCTGAAATTTATAAGTACAAAGATGTTTTTTGATATAAAGTTCCTTGTTAACACTTTAATAAAGTATATATGGTATTAATTACATGAAGAAAATGATGAAATCGACGTTTCTGCGTGTAGTAGGTATGGGCCATATTATATGTAAAAATTGGTAATATATTAACTGTTTTTATATTTTTTTAGCTTTAGATCCAAGGATCTTGGGATATTCTTTACCAAGGATTTTTCCGTATCTCTACTTTAAAGACTGATCGGTGATTTTGAGCAATTGAAAGCAAGTTGCACAAGGTAAATTATGATTATTGAACTATTATTAGCTTACATTAATTATCTACAAGATGAACAGAAATGCGTAATTACATATCACATAGGTACCTATTATGTATTTTCATAGCAATAATGCTATGTATGTAGATTATTTTTAAAATACAAATGAGGTATTAGATGTATATGTATCATATTTTTTATTCATTTTATTTTCATTCAAGTCCTGTTTGATTTAATTCACAACAGTCTTATGTACCTATATTTATGTTTTTTTACATATTTTTTTTTGATTCCAGGTTTTGCGTGGGTTCCTGTTGTCTTTTTCTTGCTTCCAGTTAGTTTTACGCCCGTGAAGCTGTGAAAACATTTATTTATCAAGTTTCTGTAAGTCAGTGCATTGTTACTTTACTAGTCAGTGCATTGTTACTTTTACTATTTCACTTTAACACAGCATCTCTGATGTTATTTAAATATTTTGATATTGATACAGTAGTTTATGGGTTTATAGCTCTTTAATTGTGTTGATTTGCATATTTACATTGTTCTAAATTCCAAATAAATATTTTTGAGTAATTTTGTTGTATTATTTACTACTAGTAAAAGTAAAAAGTATATTAACCCTCATTTAAACCTCCTGAACAGCCCGCCATTAAAAACCGGAAACGGAAATAAATTTCATAAAATTGAAATTGTCATGTCAATGAAGTGTCTATGTCATGTCAAATCATGTCAAATGTCCCAGCCGCCATATCTAAAAATTAGTTACCCAGGCAGCCACGCTGTTTCCATAATTTAACATTGACTTGACACTTCTTCTTGTATTTATTATTTTATGGTTCTACCCAGGCAGAAAGCATGACCTTCTAGACTGTCCTAGACAAAAATCTGAATATTTCTATATGATTTCTGTCAATTTCTGCTACGGAACATTTTTATGCACGTCGGCGTCCTGTTCTTTTGTCTTTTGTCTGTGTGTCAACGTCAGCTCCCGAGGCCTCTGGCAGGGTCGGGCGCCATTTTAATTTTTGCCGTTTAGATTTGATTGGAAGTTTGTTTCTGATATTTCGGCTGAAATTTATAAGTACAAATATGTTTTTGATATAAAGTTCCTTGTTAACACTTTAATAAAGTATATATGATATTAATTACATGAAGAAAATGATGAAATCGACGTTTCTGCGTGTAGTAGGTATGGGCCATATTATATGTAAAAGTAGGTAATATATTAACTGTTTTTTATATTTTTTTAGCTTTAAACCCAAGGATCTTGGGATATTCTTTGCCAAGGATTTTCCGTATCTCTACTTTAAAGACTGATCGGTGATTTTGAGCAATTGAAAGCAAGTTATACAAGGTAAATTATGATTATTGAACTATTATTAGCCTACATTAATTTTCTACAAGATGAACAGAAATGCGTAATTACATATCACATAGGTACCTATTATGTATTTTCATAGCAATAATGCTATAAATCTATGTATGTAGATTATTTTGAAAATACAAATGAGGTATTAGATGTATATGTATCATATTTTTTATTTATTTTATTTTCATTCAAGTCCTGTTTGATTTAATTCACAAAAGTCTTATGTGCCTATATTTATGTTTTTACATATTTTTTTGATTTCAGGTTTTGTGTGGGTTCCGGTTGCCTTTTCCTGCTTCCAGTTATTTAGTTTACGCCCGTGAAGCTGTGAAAACATTTATTTATCTTCAAGTTTCTGTAAGTCAGTGCATTGTTACTTTACTATTTCACTTTAACACAGCATCTCTGATGTTATTTAAATATTTTGATATTGATACAGTAGTTTATGGGTTTATAGCTCTTTAATTGTGTTGATTTGCATATTTACATTGTTCTAAATTCCAAATAAATATTTTTGAGTAATTTTGTTGTATTATTTACTACTAGAAAAAGTAAAAAGTATATTAACCCTCATTTAAACCTCCTGAACAGCCCGCCATTAAAAACCGGAAACGGAAATAAATTTCATAAAATTGAAATTGTCATGTCTATGTCATGTCAAATGTCCCAGCCGCCATATCTGAAAATTAGTTACCCAGGCAGCCACGCTGTTTCCATAATTTAACATTGACTTGACACTTCTTCTTGTATTTATTATTTTATGGATGGCACCACCTGCTAACAATTATTATTTAGGTATTTTAGGTTATTCGTGTTTTTTGTGTTTACATATTTTTTTTAATATTGGTTTTTGTTTAATTTTGCTAATATTGTCACACAAAAATTAAAATCTTATTTCGTATTAAAGCGATGTCATTAGAAGTTACCTAATATTCGTTTGTGAACGTTTATTTTTCATTTAACGAAGAAAATGTTTGGTAACGTCGCGTTTTGATAACCTTTTCTAAATTTTTGACTCTAAAATTTCGTTATCTATAAAATTAATTACTTGCGTTATATAGCGTATAATAACGATGTTTTACTTAATTCTGTGTGTAAAGTGAGTGCGTGATACTGGAATTGAAAATTATCCAACTATGGTGGTTGAAAATTCTATTATAAGATTTTATAAAACACCGGGGTTTACGCCCGCAAAACGAAACGAACTGTTACTAAAACTTCAAGAGATATGCAACTTGGTGGAAGATATAAAAACTGAGCTTTGTTATCACGTAGAAATTACGAGAAAATTGACACTGGAAGAACTGAAAACTCTTCAATGGGTGTTACGAGATCCTTTACATCCTGAATGGTTATCAGAGAAATCTAGCATTAAAGTCGTTGGAAATCAAGTTCTGATTGAAGTTGGACCAAGATTTAATTTTTCCACAGCTAAGTCCACTAATGCTGTTTCAATTTGTAAAAATTTAGGTTTAACTCAAGTTTATCGTCTTGAGGTTTCTCGCAGATATCTCCTGATTATAAAATCTGGTAATAAGATATCTCAGGATATTGAAAGAAAACTGGCTAGTATATTGTACGACCGTATGACAGAATGTCGTTATACCTCTGAAAACATTCCAAAAAATAGTTTTAATGAAAAATTAACAAAAAAGGAAAATATAAGAGAGATTGATGTGCTCAAAAAAGGCGCTGAGGCTTTAAAAGAAATCGATCAAGAATTAGGATTGGCCTTTGATGAGGCCGATTTAGTCTACTATACAAATTTATTTAAAAATATTTTGAAAAGAAACCCCACAAATATTGAATGTTTTGATTTAGCTCAGTCTAATAGCGAGCACAGCAGGCATTGGTTTTTTAAAGGTAAACTGATTGTAGATGGTGAAGAACATGAAGAGTCTCTAATTGATCTGATAATTAATACACAGAAAAATTCAAATCCAAATAATGTAATCAAATTTAGTGATAACAGTAGGTAAGTGTATCTTTTTTAATATCTGGTTTAAAAACTACTAAAATAATGTATGTAGCTTATTGAAGTTTTTTTCCTATCACAAAATAATAAACCCAGCAGACTATTATTTACTTTATTAGGCTTTTTATAATCTTTAAATATCTAACATAACTATTAACTATTATAAACTTTAAACATGATTTAATACATTTTTATTGATGTTTTAAATGAGTGTAAATCTTAGGTGTAAATTGGAATATATTTATTGAAATATAGTACATATTGATACTGTAACTATTGTAAAAATAATTTAGAACTTTATAGATGTCAATAACATGATTTATTGATATATATTTAGGACACAGTATTTTTTAACCGATTGTAGGAATTACTAGCAACTACCTATACTAATAGAAATATTTTTTATTTTGCTGATATACAGGGTCGCTGTTATGTATGGAAATGGTCGATTATTAGATAAAATATAGGAGGTACCGCAAAAAGTTAAATACAAAAAGTATAGGGTTTTTAAATGTTTATTGGCAAGTAATAAATTTATGTATACAGGATGGGTCATAAAGTTGTGGCACATAACAGTTTCATTTTTTTAAATAGAACCCCCTAAGCAAAAATCGAAATACACACAATGTACTTCAAACCAACCGTTTCCGAGTTATCGACTTTTGTAAATATCACTTAAACAATTTGATTTAGAATTGAAATTGAAATATGGCAATATAATAATATACAGGGGGTTCTATTTAAAAAATGAAACTTTTATGTACCACGAATTTATGCTTTATGCGCCAATAGACATTTAAAAACCCTATAGTTTTTGTATTTAACTTTTTGCGGTACCTTGTATATTTTACCTAATAATCGACCGTTTCCGTACATAACAGCGACCCTGTACGTATATTTTTATATTAAATGAAATAGTGAAATCATATTTTAAACCAATATAACTTTTAGAAGTTGTTGTCCTAACACAAAGTAATAAAAACAGCAGACAGTTGTTTACTTTTTATTATCATTAAATATTGAATGAACATAGTTAAATAATTTTTATTTAAATTGCTTTAAATGCATGTAGATAGGAACCCTATTGATACAGTAACTTTTTGTAAAAATGCTATGTTTAGGACACAATATTTTTTTATTGGATGTTAGAAATTGTTGCAGCAACTATTATTTACTAATAGATTTTTATATTGTTTATTACTTGCTATCTATTTTTAAAAATAAATGGAATAGTATATTGTGCAACAATGAAGAGTTTTTAGTAAACAGACCCCCTGCAAGGCAAATATTTATCATCCCATTATCCGTTATTGTTATGTTGAAACCATATCTGCTTGCGTCATTGTTTTGCCTAATTTGTAAAAATATTTATTTCCCCTATAATGATGTAATGCAAATGTAATGGTTAGTTTTTGATTAATTTAATTATGAACAGTAAGTAAAGCCAATTTCGAGCGAACAACCGTTGGTTATGATTGACAGATAAACAATGCTTTAAACGTCAGTTGTCTGTCAACCAATTGGTAGACAATTGACGTTTAAAGCACTGTTTATCTGTCAACCATAACCAATGGTTATAGGTTAGAGACACCTATGGGTCATAACTGAGACTAATTATTTTATTTAGCACCATCTAAATGGCAGAGGGAGAATTAATTAATATTTAAACTGGAATCTCTGACATTGATAATCACTTATGATATGGTCACAGCTTATTCACTAGACAGCTAGTCAACTCACGACGAGTTACATGGAACACTGTAAACAACTTTAAACTGTATTTTAGATTTCTGAGCTGTATTTTAAATTTTGCATATTTGCAATAAAGTCACAGTGTATTCAGTAATTAGATAGAAAATATTGGTAATTATCAAGTAGAACTAATAAATATTGAAGATAGAAATTTATTGAAAATGTATTGCATATTTTCTTTATACAGAAGAAAAAACTAAAAAATACCAAATTATTTTGGTTTGAGTAATGATATTTTTATAACAAACCAAACCAAACTAAAAAATGTAATGTTTGAGTAATGATTTTTTTTTATTTTATTGAAATATACTCGGGATATATGATATTAAGCAATAATTTAAGCCTCTCCAACGAGACAGGAAGAATTTGACAAATTAAAAAAACTACATATACTCTTAGTATATTATGTAGTATTTATATTTAGGATATTTTATCTTGTTAATAAAGTCTGAAAAAAAATTTATTTATTTATTTTGAAGGTATTAATTTCTAGTTATCAATTTTTAAAACATTTGTTACTATACAGCGTGCGTCTCGAATGTGACTCACCCCTATAACTTTTTTATTTTTTCAGATGAAAAAACGAGATTTGGTATGTTAGTATATGACATAAATTAGGATTGATTGACGTTTTGGGTTGATTGATTGTTTTGGGTCACTTCCTGTTTCACCGGAAATGACTACAACTTTTGATTATTCGATAGAAAATGACACTCTGAATAGAATGACATATCATATGTCAACTTTTGACATTTTCTCATATTGTTTATTTAAAATGGTAACATGCGGTTGATAATCGGTTCATAACAACATGATATCGGTTCATAACAACAATTTGGCTCAAAATACTAAGTGTGTGGTACCAAATTATTCGTAAAAAATGCTTTTTCCTAATATTCTAATGAGCCACCCTTGTTCCATTTGAAAAAATTGAGATGTGATTGAAAAATACGATTTGGGCATCTTTTAACTGGCCAGGACAAGACACGAAAAAACTTTAGACGATCAAAACTATTTTTCCAAGGCTCCTTGATTAAAAATTACTGTTTTTAACACAGCCATGGCACTCTAGATTGAAATTTAAAATACGATTATTTTTAAGCAAAAATGTCAAAAATTTAATAAGCTGACTAGAATAAGCTGTGATATCGTTTTGCATTACAATAAGGACCAATAACAAAGATTAAGTTCTCTTTGCCAATAATACAGGAAACCAAACTGGTACCAGTTGATATCAAAAAGTGTCGTGCCAGAGGGTTAATTCCAATTTTAATTGTTTCAAAATTCTCCAGATGTTCTATTTATTTCTTATGTGTGACTTTCTAAGCACATTGTGTATTAATTAAATATTGCAGCGCAATAAGAGGATACATCCATCGGAGTCTGAGACCTGCCTCAGCAGGATCGGTAAGCGAACTGAGACAGGTACCGTCCGAATCCCACTTGATCTTCACTGCAGAAACTCACAATTTTCCCACTGGTGTGGCACCATTCAGTGGGGCTACCACCGGCACTGGTGGTCGAATAAGAGATGTACAGAGCGTGGGAAGAGGAGGGTACTGCATCGCTGGTACTGCCGGATACTCTGTTGGTAATGATCTATTGGTTTTCTATCTACAATATGTCCAAAAAGTTTACAACATATGAGGAAAAATGATTGGTTTGCCAAAATAAAAATAAAAATTAATTGGAGTAAATTCAGCATATTATTTCATAAAAAATATCGTTTACGTTGGGTGGTTTCCTCTACCCCAAACTTTAAGTAAAGAACGAAATGGAACTTTAAAAATGGAAAAAAATAAGTAGTAGACGACAATCGGTAGGATATTTTACTAGTAAGTCAAGTAATTTACAAAAAGTTCGATAATTTGACATAAAATCGGAAATTTTGAAAATGATAGAGCAATTGAAATAATAATAAATGTCTTAGTTTAGTTTTTCAGGGCTGGTAGATCTCGATAAAAGAAACATATTTTCTCTTTACCGTTTATGAAATAAATCCAAAACAACCGAGTTATTTTACTTTGAAAGTTTCTAAAAAATAATGTTTTGCTTAAATTTTGAGAATCGCTGGATCTTTTCTGGGTTTTCTTTCTTGTAAATTTAATCTATATTGCCATAGTATCAATAAATAATGTTATTTAACTAAAAACTAAAAAAAATCCAAAAAATTCCAAAATTTCATTTTTTTGCGAAAAAACCTCAGAATTGTGTTCTTCTCTGGGGTCGAATGCTACGACAACACTACGAGTAAGCTAACGTTAAAGTAAATAAATATCTATACTTATTTAACACTCACACTGTGTAGGTACCTATGTTTTTAAAAAAGGAATATCACATTTTTTCTTTCTTTAAAATACAATAAACGAAGTAAATTAACAAAAATATTCTTTATTTTGTCTCTCTTCTAAGTTTTTTTCTATAGAATCTCTCGCAATATTGTCAAAAACTAAAAATTTTAATTTTCAGAATACTGATCTTGTTGCAATGGACGTCAATACTATCTTAATAACAAAATAATTTAGAATTTAGAATTATATTAAGACGTTCAATACTATCTTAATATAATTCTAAATTCTAAATTATTTTGTTATCTATGAATGTATGTCTAATTTTTTTCATCATATATTTGATGGTATTACGCAGATACCTTTATGAAATTTGATACACGTAACACCACTTTTTACACTCTAAAATGAATTGTTCTACATCGTCACAAAACAGACAATTTCATATTTTTTTTGTTATTGGGCTTACTACACATAATTTTTTGATAACTCAATAGTACAAGCTTTTCACATTGGTTGCGAATTTTTATATTCACATTGTATACTATATTTTTCTAAATATTAAGTTTGGCTTTAGGAAACCTTCTGATTCCCGAATATCCACTCCCCTGGGAAGACGAAAACTTCCAGTACCCGTCTAATTTCGCTCCACCACTAGAAATTCTTGTTGAGGCTAGTAATGGTGCCTCTGATTATGGCAATAAGTTCGGGGAACCCCTTATTTCTGGATTCGTAAGATCCTTTGGTTTAGAAGATAGTAATGGAAGAAGGTGAGTAATATTATACCATATACGATCGAAAAAAAACAGCTTCAAAGTCGGCTAGGTAATGACAATTGATGATAATTTTGGCGAGGTCAAGCCCTAGACGTCCTATAAAGTATCCATATTGACTCCAAACTGCATTCTGTGAAGCCAAGCCGGTGAAATGGGTATATAAATCTTCTGAAGGAATTTGCATAAGTCGCTCAGTTAGCTCTGCTCAAGCGTAGTGCGCAAGCCTGGATTTTGAATTATCGATCGGATCACCAAATCTATGATCATATGATCTATCAATCCATATTATGGCTAATCCTCAGAGTAAGGGCTAATTGATATTCAGAATTTTCACACCGTCTTATATGCCTTCGCTAGCCGAATTAGAGAAAATGAGTATTTTATGCGTTGATCGCAGAACTAGTAGGGGCTCCACCACACGTAAGGGGAAATCAAATCAGCCTTGTCAAGAATTTTCCCATTAGGTTGCGTATCTTCCCAATTCTTTCAATCAACTGTAAAACTCCCGGAAACTGTTATCGAAACGAAATTCTGAATTGTCATTGTCAATTTTTTTTGACCAATCACAACAAAATTCGTATTATCCGATAAACGGAGGCATGGGAATACAATAAATTTAATAATGCATACTGTCTTCATTGCAATGACAACCAATGAGCATTTTTTGGGTTTCAGGGAGTGGATCAAGCCCATTATGTTTAGCGGAGGTATCGGTAGTATGGAGGCCGATATGACCGAGAAACTATCACCGGAAGTCGATCATCAAATTGTCAAAATAGGAGGACCTGTGTATAGAATTGGAGTGGGAGGTGGGGCAGCCAGTTCAGTTGAAGTTCAAGGCGACAACAAGGAAGAGTTAGACTTTAACGCTGTTCAAAGAGGTTTGTGCTTATACCGCGCGGGCAACTCTTACTTTTGGGTCGGTATTTATATGCGTGGAAGCAAATCGCATAGGGATCTTATGAAGTCGGAGTGAGAGAAATGCGACGGTGTGCTGTTGCGGCATTGTCACATTTCTCCGCTACGTCTTTCCCTATCAAGTGAAGTAAAATCACGATCGCAAACTGCTTATTTTTAATTTTTTTTTCGAAAAGATAACTATAAAATAATTAGATATGTTTCTGAGCATCTGAAATGTAATTATAAGGATATCGTTAGGGTGTCCAGTTTTTTATAACGAAAAAACATCAGTCATCGCGATAATTTAAAAACTCAACTTTTTAACACATAACACGCGATAACTCAAGGACTACTTTAGATATTGAAACTTTTTTTTATTTTGAAGTTCGCGATCTTTTCAAGATGTTTAAATAAGAAAAATTTGATAGGCTTGTTTTTTTTTTCTATTCAATAATTTTAAAAATCCGTCCATTTACTTTTAGCGCATTGCAATTTTCAGCAAAGGTGTAACTGTCTATAAAGATTTTCACATACTGTCTGCGAAGAAAATATAGCAAAAATATTAAGAAAGTTTTTGAAAAAAAAACTACAATCAGTTATTTCTAATGGATTTGGAGATATCGATTTTTGAATTCAGAGTTCTAATAGCGCGATCACTTTCGAACATCAACTCAATTCCACTTATTTTTACCAAAAGTGCAACTGTTTCTAACTTGTACTTAAAAATTTACAAGCTATAGGGAAAATTACAACGATTCGTTAATAAATAAAGAAATAAAGTATCACGAGACGTAATTAAATCGTGAAACTGAACGATTACTGATGATGATTTACAGGCTTCACTGGAATTTTAAGTAGTGATTGGGTCTGCTATATCCTCTTCCACGTCTCTTAGCAATGTGCCGTTTCTCGGTTTATTTCATATGTTTGACAACATTTTTACTGTTCTCTCTTTGTTCAGTACACTATAAATGCATTGTATTCTTCTTACATACGGAAATTTCGACCCAAAACTAACCTTTGCCAGCCTTTAGTACGTCAATTACTAAGAAGGATAATTCTACATCTTGCAAAAATTTGTATCGATTTTTTCTGCATTAATGTTAAACATATTCTATTTGTTAAATCATATATTCAGATTCAAAATTATTGATAGGTGATCCCGAAATGGAAAACAAACTGAATCGCGTCGTCAGGGCGTGCCTGGAGCTCGGCAAAAAGAACCCCATCATCAGTATTCACGACCAAGGTGCCGGCGGGAACGGGAACGTCTTAAAGGAACTGGTTGAACCATCCGGTGGTATAATTTATGCCAACAGATTCGAACTAGGAGATCCGACTATCAATACTCTGGAACTATGGGGCGCAGAGTATCAAGAAAACAACGCTATGCTTTGTAAAAAGGATGATTTGCTACTTCTGAAGGTGATTTGTGAAAGAGAACGGTGTCCAATCAACGTGGTCGGTGAAGTAACTGGAACGGGTTCGGTGGTACTGGCCTTAGACGAAACCAAATCAGCCACACCATTCAATCTGAAGCTAGATCACGTTTTGGGCAAAATGCCTAGGAAAGTATATCATTTGGAACGTAAAAAACCTACTTTAACACCTCTGGTATTACCTGGAACCATTTCAATTTTCAAATGTTTAGAAAAAGTACTCAGACTGCCATCCGTTTCTAGCAAGAGATACTTGACTAACAAAGTGGATAGGTAAGTTTTGAATTTATAATCAAAATAGGTTATATTATAACTTTTTAAGCCTTGTTTAGATGCGTAACGGGATTAATAGCGCAACAGCAATGTGTAGGTCCTCTTCACACTCCACTTGCCGACGTGGCCGTCACTGCCGTTTCTCATTTTGGTTATGTATGGAATTTATTCGGGAAAAAATGGAATGTTTTCGCTAAAAATCTATTATTTGTAGGAAGGTATCGCCTCGTCCATAGGAGAGCAACCAGTCAAGGGTTTAGTAAATGTTGAAGCTGGAGCAAGAATGTCTGTGGTAGAAGCTTTAAGGTAATCGATTTTTAATTACATTCTCATTTATAAAGTAATTTTATGACTGTCACTGTAGTTACGTTTAGGAGAGGGTTTAATTCCTTTTTTAACAACTGTTATTTCTAAATAACAGTTAAACAGTTAAAAAAACTGTTGCAAACTCTATTTCTAAATAGCAGTTGTAAAATAACAGATTGTTATTTTATTATACTATTAAAATATAGTTTTTATTATTTTTAATTTCTAAGTTGACGCGTTAGTGATTTGATTCAATTTTAGCAACTTGGTATTTGCGGGTATTACCGAACTTAGAGACGTCAAATGCAGCGGTAACTGGATGTGGGCAGCTAAACTACCAGGAGAGGGTGCTGCGATGTTCGATGCATGCAAGTCGATGTGCGATTTAATGTCTCAACTAGGTTGGTGTATTCAGTAACTTTTAGTTTTGTCCATTGACAATTTTTTTATCGTTTTATAGGTATCGCAATTGATGGCGGTAAAGACTCCTTAAGTATGGCAGCTAGAGTAGGCAAAGAAACCGTAAAGGCTCCAGGAACTTTGGTGGTTTCGACATACGCTCCATGCCCAGATATTCGAAAAGTAATCATTAATAATAAGTATTTATATAATTCTATTTCACGATTTTTATCTAGGTCGTTACTCCAGATTTTAAAGCACCATCGTTAGGTAAGCAGGGAGTGTTGCTCTTTGTAGATCTGTCTCACGATGCCAATAGGTTAGGAGGATCTGCGTTAGCTCAAGTTTTCAAACAACTAGGAAACGATTGTCCTGACTTACATTGCGCCAAAGATCTTAAAAATGCGTTTGCAGCCACACAGGAACTTATTAAAGATGGCGCAGTCTTGGCCGGACACGATGTCAGCGATGGTGGATTGATTGGTAAGTAAACGGCTTACAAGAAAATGGCTTTGAAAAAAGTATAACATTTTTGTTTCTGTTTTTATTTAACATTGTTTTTTAAACAAATTTATATTTAAAGTATTCAAGTTTTAGGCTGTCGGGTTGACAAAGTAAAATTAAAATATTACTGAATTCTCATTTTACCCTAATTTTACAACATTATTTACAACAAATATAAGAATATATTACTAGTACCGCCTTTACACAATGAGTGGAAAGTGAAGCCAAATAAATGAAATAGGAATACCAATCTTGCATAAGTCTAACTTTTTCGTTCAACAGGATTTTCGTGCGCACGCACCAAATAAGCACTACTTCATCGCTGAACGCTGTCACCTGCCCACGCGCTATTTTAAACTCTAAATATTAATAACGTATAATATATATTTTTTTTAATAATTGCATTATTTCAACCTGTTATTTTAGATATTCATCATATCTATTGGTTTCTTATCTTTGTTTAAATATGTGAGAAATTAAATTTAAATTTATAAGTAACGGCGCGAATAGTCAGACGCTAAATTGATTTACGTGGTGGATAAAAACTTATAAAACTACTTCTATAGATTAGTATGAAATAAATCAACTAATCGAGACGCACTTCTCACGCTTGCGTAGTTCAATGCTGTTGAACGAAAAGGACCGACTTATGTGGATTTTGTATAGCTCCATCTCATAAATTTGGCTGCCTACATTCCAAATAAGTACTAAGCTAATCTGCTGACTCGTCCCGTCGCGTCGAGCGGGCCGAGGTTGCCATATTTCAACCATAAAGCTCTTGCCGCGTGTAATAAACAAATTAACAACCTGTATATGATTTACAATAATCAGAGTCTACAATTATTTTATTTATTTATTAATTTTCTTTCTTTCGTTTAGTGTGCCTATTGGAAATGTGTTTTGCTGGCCTTTCCGGAATGGACGTGAACATCAAACACAGACAAGGCAAAGCCATTCCTATTCTGTTCTCTGAAGAAGTCGGATGGGTGCTGGAAGTTCTCGATAAAGATGTCGCCCATTGTTTATCAGTCTTCCAGGTATACCACCAAGCGCAGTTTTCTTGGCTTCATTTTCTCTCTCCAATCCTTCCTTGATTTACAGGGTTACAATGTTCCAGTATTCGACATCGGTCACAGCGTAGGTTACGGAATAAAATCTCAGATAGTGGTCACTGTAAATAACGCCTCGCTCGAAAGTACAGTATTTCCTTTAATGAGAAAGTGGGAGGAGACCAGTTACAAACTGGAACTCAGACAAACAATCAAAGAATGCGCGGATTCCGAGTTTTCATCTTTGATTAGCAGGACTGGACCGAAATACATTTTGACCTTTGATCCAGATGACGACAATATCTTGAAAGAAGAGAAAATACCTGTTGCGGTTATAAGAGAAGAAGGTATTGGAAAAATAGAAAAAAAATAACGTTAGATAACTAAATTCTTTTCAGGTATAAATAGTGATAGGGAAATGGCTGCGGCTTTGGTTAGAGTTGGTTTCAAAGTATGGGACGTCACTATGCAGGATCTTTTAACTGGAAAGGTTACTTTGGATCGTTTCAGAGGCGTCATATTCCCTGGTGGCTTTAGTTATGCCGGTAAGTGTTAAATTAGTAAATTCCGTACTCCTTAACTACTCATTTACAACATAACCTCACCGGCACGAAAAACGGACACCTTAAAATTTTGATGCACAGTTCATACCAAATAAACTTTTAGTCACGTGATTTAGCTTGACCAGCACAGCGTTGCCCACTTTTATATATATATTCTTTTAATCAAAATATTTTAGGAAACAAAAATAAATTCATTATAAATATACTAAGGGTTAGTCAAGGTTGGTCTTGGGTCGAGATTTCTGTATGTAAGAAGAGTACAATGCGTTTATAATGTACTGAACAAAGAGAACAGTAAACCCGTTGCCAAACATATAAAATAAACCGAGAAACTGTGCACATTGCTGAAAGACGTGGAAGGGAACATAGCAGATTTGTCGCAGTCGACCGGTCGATTAGTATCTCTGTCAGTACTTAAAGTTCTGGGGAAACATCATGTGTTCATCTTCACTTATTTGTTTATTTATTACCGAATCGTTGTAATTTTCCCTATAGCTTAAACATTTTTAAGTGCAAGTTAGAAAAACTTAACATTTCTGCTATATTTTCTTCACAGACAGTATTTGAAAATCTTTATGAATAAAAAAAGGTACACGATTGCTGACAATTGCTATGCACTAAAATTAAATGGATGTGTTTAAAATTTTTGAATGGAAAAAAAAACAAACTTATCGATTTTTTCTTATTTAAAAATATTGTAAAAGATCCGATTTTTAAAATTAAAAAAAGTTTCAATATCAAAAGTGGTTTTTAAGTTATAGCGTGTTATGTGTTGTAAAAAGTTGACTATTTAAATTATCGCGATTACTGATATTTTCTCGTTATAAAAAAATGGACACCCTAACGATATCCTTATAATTCCATTTCAGATGCTCAAAAACATCTAATGATTTTATCTAGTTATCTTTTCGAAAAAAAGTATTTTAAAAATGGGCTGTTTGCGATCATGATTTTACTTTACTTAATAGGGAAAGCCGTACCGGCAACGCCGCAACAGCACACCGTCGCATTTCTCTCACTCCGACTTAATAAGACCCCTATGCGATTTACTTCCACACATGTAAATACCGACCCAAAAGTAACAGTTGCCAGCACGGTATAAACAGTTATTATTTTCATCAACAAAACTCACCTTCTTAACAGCACTTAAGAGGCATAAAGGATCATTACTACCCCTTTCCCGTTCAAAATATTCTAATAAAGTTGCGATGAGTTTTTTACGGCTGTGAAGCTATCTTGTACACTTTGCACTAAAAGAGCTTCTAAAAAGAACAATGTTCGACTGCAAGGTCTACTAGTAAACATTTTCAAGCTTAAAGTATCACAAAACAATTTATTTAAATTGGTAATAATAATATAAAAAACTATTAATACAAAACTAAAGTGTCAAAACGAATGACAATGGCAGGAAATAAGTAAATAAATGCGGCAACTTGACATTTTTTACAGTAGAGCTACCACCTGAATACCCAGCGCGAAATTTAAATTCCAGTTAGTCAGCATGGCGCCGAATATATCCATGGGTTAATCAGTTAACCTTAATAATATTAAGGTTAATCACGTGACTAAAAGTTTATTTGGTATGAACTGTAGCTTGGTAAACCACACCAAACCAACAGGCAATAAACAATACATAATCGGCAACACGCTATTATCCCTTATTGACCCTAAGTACCTTCACGGTCGTGGCAACTTTCTTCACGTGCTCATTCCTTAGTCATTTTATTCATTGGGGATTTGTATCCTTTAATATATCTAATCAAAGTGAAAGACACTTAAAGACGTTATTTTTAGATGTGCTGGGATCGGGTAAGGGTTGGGCAGCTAGCATCCTCTTCCACGACACAGTCAAACAGCAATTCGCGAGGTTTTTTAACCGACCCGATACCTTCAGCTTGGGCGTCTGTAACGGATGTCAATTGATGGCCCTAATTGGCTGGGTCGGTACACCACTCTCTGATACTTATTCTAAACCCGATATTACCCTAGAACACAATAAGTCAGAGAGGTTCGAATGTAGATGGAGCACAGTAAGAATAGAAAAATCGAAAGCTATTATGTTTAAAGATATGGAGGGTTCTGTATTAGGAGTCTGGGTATGTTTTTCTAAACTGAATGAAGAAAGAAGTCGTTACAAGTATTTTTTATGGTTTAGGTAGCTCATGGCGAAGGTCGTTTTGGATTTAAAGATAATACAATCTACAGGAAGTTGGTGAAGGATGGTTGTACGCCTCTAAGATACGTGGACGATAACAGTAAACCAACCGAAGTGTATCCTCTGAATCCAAATGGAAGCGTGGAAGGACTTGCTGGTATTTATACATATATTATAAAGACGCGTAGAATTTTCTATAACGATTTATCTCTAAAAATGTTTAAACAATTTGGCGCCTTCCGTTTTCAAAATTCCTCTAGGGAACAATGGGGTCTTTCACTATATTTTGGAATTAGCATAATTAAGTAAAGCAATTAATTCTAGAATTTTCTGCTATCTCACTTTCGAAAAATTTGAAGTCGTTCTTAAGAAAATAAATAAAAACAAAAAAGCCCAGAATAAAAATCCGCACTTTATTTTGAATACGTCACACCTGGCATGTTGAAAAGCGGCAACACGGCCGGGCCACCATGCTGACCCACCACCACCTCCACACAAGGCCATTCAACCTTTTCCAATATGGCGGAGTTAGAAGTGCTTTATTTGGCGCGTATTTTAAAACCTGTTTTATTTCCAAATAGACATTTTTCACACAAATGTCGGGTTAGATTACGTAATATTTCACTAATTTTTATAATATACAGGGAGTCTAAAGCTCTCCACATAAGTATGGAATTTTTTGTATTATTACTTTTATGAAAACATCAGTTAGTTACTTTTTATAAAAAGGTTTGCTTTCTCAGAAAATATGTAGGTAGTGTACTAGTGTGTAAATATTCAAACTTGAGGTAGCATATATAGGGTGTTCAAAATCATCGGAAAAAGAAATAACCAGAAATATATATATAACAGAAAATAGCAATATAAACTAGATATTCAGTTGCAAACACTTACCTACCATAGTTTAGAATTTACTGCACGTTTGATAAATATATACTATTATGGACAGTATAGGAAGTTACTTGTCTTAGTAAAAGCTTTGGTAAATGCTCTTGGAATTATAAACTACACTGGCTTGGGTCAAAAAATATGGAATATTTTTTCTATGTTTTGCAGCATTACACAAATGGGAATAAATTTAAACTATAATAGGTGAGGATAACTAAAAAATATAATATGTGTTTCAAGATTTTATTTAGAAAAAAAAATAAATACCTTTTTATAACGTCATTTCTTTTTTTTGCATAGTTCTTCAATATAATATTGGATATTCTGAACAAGATGGATTTAATAATAAATTCTGACGTATGTGAGGGGCAATTGTGCAACCTAAAAAAAGACTTACATCCAGGCCATTTATATTTTCAAATGTGAATGTTGTCAATATCTTTCTGTGATCTTTTTGATGTAAAAAAGCTTGACTATTCTACCAATATTTTACTTATAGTAAGGTAAGTGTAAGCAGTAGCCATAACTACATCCTCACTAGGGTAACAGATGCTTTGGCCTTTGGCCTTTTTGAGGCATATTTAATGCACTTCTTACCCGAGAACTAGTAGGAGTGAAATTATCTCTTTCAATAGCTGTCAACCATTTTTTACGAAGCTCGTCATTTTTGAGGAATATAAAAGCAGAAACCTTGGGACCCCCTCTATAATTCTCGTGACAATTTGGAACAGAGCATGTAAAAGGTATGCTACAATAAAATGTTAATACCTACCCTTTAATACCTATCTTTTGATTATTGTAAGTAACCATTATAAAGTACTATACAGACTGGCGATGAAGGCTTTTTACTCATTTAGGTGTAATATCTTGATAAATATTTCTAGTTCTTACCTTAAAATAATTAATAATAGAGGAGTACGACAAGCACAAAAGTTTGAAGTTCCCTATGTGGAATGTCTGGTTTGGATTTTTATTACACTGTTATTTTATCACAATTTTCTGATCACACCATGTACTGAACACTAAGAACTAAACAAACGTGTTACAGAAGCAAAACAAACTAGAGATAATTAATTATTTCTGGTATGCAATCGGAACGAGAAACCACTACCGGCTTTTCAGGTTAAAGGTAAACAATTTAATAATGCGCTGCCTTCGTCGCCATATTTGCCTTGCCCATATCATGTTGATTGGCCTTGAGTTGAGGTGGTGCTGGTCCAATCAAATCGCAATGTTGCCAGTTGTTGGCTGGCGCACGAGCACGGTTCTGCAATGTGATTAGGCGTATTTTTCATACGTCATAAATTGGCGCTTTAAAATTATTTCAAATTAAAGCAATTTTGAGGACCTATAAAAAAGTTATTCAATGTCATGGAACTATTTTTTTTGGATAAATATACTGAAAATAGTCTTCTATTTCAGATTTTATGCTTGAATTGAGTATATAATTTTTTGTGAAAGAGCCCATTATTATATTTTCAGAGGTTTTAAAAATTTATTTTAATTAAAAAATAAAACTTTGATTATTCTAAAAACCAAGTACTAGTATTAGTCAGAGCTAGCAACGTTTTCGAAAAAGTATTTTAAGACCTCTGGCGCTTTGATATATCTTTTACTATGCTTTCTGGAACAGCATGCGGCCCGTCTAGCTGCCGATACCCGTTGCGTTCACTACTGCGCATCAGAAGAAGATCCTATATTTTTTTTAATTTAGTCCTATAAATTCTAGTATTGAATATAAATCGAACATGTCTCCATAGCGCAGTGCGTAGAGTTGCCGACTACGAACCGATGATTCAGAGTTCGAATTCGGGTCAGGGCAAAGACTTTTTTATTTTATTTTCGTTTATATTCTGATAGTAAAGTATTAAATAATTCTGGTGATTCAAAAAAAACCAAATATTTAATACTTTACTATCAGAATATAAACGAAAATAAAATAAAAAAGTCTTTGGCCTGACCCGGATTCGAACTCTGAATCCTCGGCTCGTGGTCGGAAACTCTACGCACTGCGCTATGGAGACAATGTTCGATTTATATTCAATACTAGAATTTAAAGGACTAATAAAAATATAGGATCTTCTTTTAATGCGCAGTAGGAAACGCAACGTTTAGCGGCAGCCAGACGGGCCGCATGCTGTTCTAGAGAGCATAGTAAAAGATATATCAAAGAGCCAGACGTCTTAAAATACTTGTTTTTCCGACGTTGCTCTCGTACTATATGCTATTATGTCAGAGATTTTCTACCAGCTATGTCAAGTGTAATTTTAACGTCCATTTAATGTTGTGTTTGATGTGATTTTAGTAAATATATCGGTTAGGAAGTAGTTTTTCTGCATAATTTCTTTATAATCGAATTTTTCATACCATTCAGGACACTAGGGTACGTCCATAGTGCGCTGGCTTCCCGCTTCTCGCTTTATCGCGGCAGACTAGCGGTGAAAAATATAGGAACAATAAAAAGTGCGTTGCCATAGTGAGCCAGTCAGCCAGTTTCAACCGGCTTAAACTGCTTTTACTGGAATGAATTGTTGTTCCTTTTTGTTGCTAGCCTACTTCACCCACTGAACAATTTTATCACAGCTACCTCTTTTGAAACCAATTCAACTCCCTCGCTCCCACACTTAATCTTCCCTGCGCGGCTATGATATTATGGTATGATATTTACCAAATTCAAAATGAGACCGATTAATTTCATGATCACGAGTAGTACTTTTTTGTATCAGTTTAATATGAACATTAGCACTAGCTCATAAAAGGACACAATAAATCCCACGGGATAGCTTCCAGCTTCCTGCAATCGGTTGTTAATGGCTAATACCTGCTTCGATGGCGCAGGTTCACAAAGCGATAAGACTTGTCGCGAGAAAAGTCGGCCATCGGAAAGCCGGTGCACTATGGACGTACATTTATACTTGAAAGATCATAATATTTATAAACTTACTTATCCAGGCGTATGCTCATCTAACGGAAGACATCTGGCAGTCATGCCTCATCCAGAAAGATGCGCCCAGCCCTTCCAATGGCCCTACATGCCCAGGGAATGGATCCACCACCAGAAAAGTCCTTGGGAACGAATGTTTAAGAACGCATTTGACTGGTGCACGTCGAACAAGTTCGATACCGTCTATTATTAAATACGTATTTTACTGAGCAGGAATCAATCAAAATAGAACTCGTAATGAAGTGCCTTACAAATCATTCCTTTGTTATTTTTTATTCAAACTAAGGTGGATATTTATGCGTCCGATATCTGACGATGGGATATTAATTTTATTGCTTGAATTTAAAGAGTTTGGTTAGAATATTCTTTAGTTTGTAAATTTATTACATTCCCACATGCCTGATTGGTCAAAATTATTTAACTATGACAATTCTTAATACAATTCCAATTTGTCATTTATTGTTTTCATTCCCATAAAGGTACATTCAGGCTGAGAACGTCGAGCGTCGCGTCGCGTTTGCGTCGCGTCCGCGTGTCGGTAAATGGAATCAATTCACTTAACTTAAATTAGACCGTTCAGGCAGACAGCGTCGCGTTTGGCGTTGCGCTAGCGTCCGCTGAGCGTCGGGGTTCGAGTTCAATGGGGCGGACCTGAATGTACCTTAACGGTTTTCGTGAGTTTTACTTATGTCATTATTATTTGTTTTTACTTCTCTTTAAGCTTCATTCAAAACCTCGCAATTAATGGAATAAATTAGTGATTTCAACTACACTTTATAGTTTACTATCATTCACAATGTTTAAAAAACACAATTAAAATTAATAGAATATCCTAGCAACAGCTTACGGTGGTCAGTTATATCCATAGATAAAACCTAATATTTAGCTTATAAAACAATAAACTTTTGATTTATAACCACAATTTCACTTGACGGATGATAATCAAAGGCTAAAATGACATTCCTCGCCAATTTTTAAGTATAATTAGTGAAAATGTTAAAAGTTTTTTAACTTTTGCTACTAATTGAAAATTACTACTACTAATTTGGTCGTGGTGAATGCTTAAATCGAGATTATATGAACAAACTTCTCCGCTAACTGAAACCACTAATTTATTCCACTAATTTCGAGGTTCTGAATGAAGCTTTAAAGTGACATTAACTCGAAAGAGAGTAACCACTTCCTGATAGCAATAATATCCCAATTTGTCAACAAAAAGTAAGGTTAGATTAGACCTTTACTTGACAACTGTAGTTGTCAAAACATCTGTTATCATACGAAAAGTTAAAATTATTTTAACTTTCTCCTTTGACGAACAGGGGTTAAAAAAATTCAAAAGAATGGCGCGAAAACACTATGACCAATCAGAGCAACCTCGGATGATCGTAGCAACGGATGACGGATGTATCAAAATCCGCCTTTAAATGTTATAATTTCAGATAATTTATATTATACACTTAAGTACTATTTTTGTATATTGTTAAAATATACTTTTTACAATTTATCAGGATTTCATTTAAAAAATTGCCTCCAGTTTTATTACTCTGTACAGGGTGAGTTTTAAATAAGTGCAAATATTTCTAGGGGTAGTATATTTGGACCCCAGATTTGCAAAAAAAGTTCGGATGAATCGTTATATGGATGAATCTCATATTAAAAACATGAATGTTAACTTTTCACCAATAGGTAATTATTTAATATAGAGTATGACCCCGGATTGTCTTTACAAGAGGAAAAACTTTTTTATTATTGACATTTTGAGAAAAATACAGTTTAGGATCGAACAAGCAAAAATATTTATGAAGAACGCACATTTTTCTCAAAATGTCAATAATAAAAAGTTATTCCTCTTGTAAAGACAATCTGGGGTCATACTGTATGTTCCAAGTAGCATAAACTCGAAACAAGACGGCCTCACAGAGTTGGCTTGGTAATGAATTTTTATTGCAATATTATCGATTGTAAGAAGGCCTGCAAATAAGAATTTCCTATAAAAAGAACGTGAAGTTAATGGTCAAAAAAATATTTTCATAGATTCTGTGCATCTGTAGTACTTTTATACATAGCCGCTCCAAGCTAATTGTTAAAATGTGCAGCCAAAATCTAATACGAAAATAGGAATGGAATAAAACATTTTTTTTTCGATAAAAAATTATTTATTTGGTTGCCTTCACTAAGCAGATATAAAGGACTTTCAAGCAGTCTTAATAGCATTTTGAAATTTTTATTATATGTACACATCTATTGAAGAACACAAATAAAAAGATGTACTTATTTGTAATTGTTCACAGTTTTACGTCTTGGTGCTTATTTCATGAATAATAACATTATTAATATTATTTTACAACAAAGCCTTTTTATACCACTTACGTTTTTAAGCACAAATATTACTTTAGTGTAAATTATTTTTCTTTAAAAAAATCTCATGTTTTGTGAATGTTAAGTAACATTTAACATCGACCTAATTGCTTTTAATCGTTTTTGATAGTGAGTGTTTTTTAATATCTATTACGGTTTATGTAGTATTAAATCTATCACTATACATAACAAATATTACAATATAATATCTAACGTAAGTCCATTCCAAATACCATATATGATCGAAATAAAAACGGCGTCAAAGACGGCTGGGAATGACAATCGATGACAATTTTGGCGAAGTCAATCTCTAGACATCGTTTACTAAAAATTAGCATAAAACTTGTCAAAAATTGACAACCATAATTACGGAAAGATTAAAAAAGGATAAAACATTGATAGACACACTTCTTACAAATCTATTTCCAAAAAAAAATATTTTTTCTCGAATTTTAAACTACACCATTTAAAAATAATTTTTACTCAATAAGAATAGATCCCAACCTTCTTAAATCCAACTGGCAGTAAGCGCCATTAAAAAATAAAGAGAGTACCGGCCAAGTAAATGATATCTAGTGCTTGACCTCGCCAAAATTATCATCGATTGTCATTCCCAGCCGTCTTTGACGCCGTTTTTTTTTCGATAGTACAGTATAAAGCCAAATTAGCTTGTCTGTTTAAAGTGTTTAAAATCAAATCTACATAAGTTTAGTAATCAATTTTTTTAATGAACTAATCTATTCATTCGCTTAATTTAAAATCCCTGTTATTGCGACCATAACTGATAACTTTGATTTTCTTTGAGACGTTTTACTCTTTAACATGAAGATGGATTTTTATATATCTACGTTTTTATTCTAAAAGGCAAAAAACGCTTAAGCCTTTTTTTAACATTTATATTTAGGTCAATTTCTCCAGTTAGCTTTCAAAGTTCACGTTCTGTTAAAATTTATAGAGATAAAATTAATATATTATACCGTTTTAGTTTATTTCTAGACAATAACAATTATTTGTGAGTTAAGTTTTTATTTTTTTGGCTTGGAAACTATATTTTTAAAAATAATGTTTAATGCGTACTTATCGACTAGGTGTCACTATCTGAGATGAGTTGTTACTTCACTGTCTGTTATTTCAGAACTGTTATTTCGATATAACAGCATACAACAGCTAATTCAAAAAATAAAATAACAGTTATGGAAACAACAGTGAGCTCACAGCAATGGCTTGTATCTAATATCGGAAAATATGCATCACAAACTTCTACCAAGTTCACAACTCTTGTTACTTCCGCAAAATAACAGGTATAACAGACTGTTCGCCGTGTGATGTGTAGAACGCCACGCCACGAGTTTTAGCAGGCTGATAACAGTGATTACTTACAAGAAAGTACCGGGTGGCCAACTAAGAATGGACGCCGGCTGTATCTCAGAAACTACTTATCATATAACTTTGGGAAAAAAATTCTAATAAGTAAACCGACCAAGAGAAATCGCTGAAAATTATTTTCAAGTTCGAAAAATGTCCGCTAGGGGGCGTTTCTCTAATAGCCAATCAGAAAACAGGGTTTTTATCAAACATATGCAGGTGAACAGGTATTTTAAATATTACTATTGTAAACATCGAGAAATTTACAATTTTTATGATACAGAGTTTTTGCTCATAATCTCATAAAATAAAGTGGTGGGGGAAGGTTAAACTTGCTTTTATTAAAATAAGGATAACTCTGGTTTAGGTTACGCGATTTAAACAAACTAGGGCTCGTTTAAAAGAGTTTTTCTTCCTTAATGATCTCCAGTATAAATTTTGTTTCCGCAATTTTTTTCGTGATAGCTAGAGGGCGCTGTTTGACACCATAACAGATATTGCGCTTTTCCGTAAAAAAATAAAGAGGAGGCTATATTTCTATTTACATATTTAAATAGAGCAGAAAATTTGCAAAATATCAGAGCAAACCGCAACTTTCTATCTTCTCTCTAACCGGAGATATTAAGAGAACAAATCTTGTTAGGCTGCCGCTTAGGATTATATGGTCTAAAAATTATAATAGTAGGCTAGGAAACAAAAAAGAGGTAAATTGATTACGTCAAAATATCAAAACATATATTTTAATTTCATTTTAATACCATTTAATTATTATTTATCCATTTTATTCGATCATACGGTGCGTTCAGCAACAGGCAATGGGTAAATTGCTTTGGAAATATCAGTATATAACAGATATTTAATTTTACTAATAAAATTAAGCATTTAATAATGCCAAAACGTAATAATGCCAAAGTGTGTAATAACTAATGAAATGCTCAAAGTTTTCTCATCTATTAAAAAAGGATAATCCAATTCTGATGTCATATGCAGTACAAAACTTAGTATCTAGTATCACAGCTAGTATCTACCATGTATCTACTGCTACCGGCAACGGAGTAACAAACACTTACGTAACACTTTTAGTGTTTAATTTCCCTTTTAAAGTAAAGACTGTCACCGTCTGCTACAGAATATTTATAACTTCATACAGTACTCGTACATTTCTGAAGCCTTCTCAAAAGAAATTAACCCTGTTCGTTTATTTGTATCTTTATCATTCTGTTTTATTGGCTAGAGGGTACACTAACAATGCATCAACCCTTTAAAATATTTTTAATTATAATTAAACATATCTAAAAAGTACCGTATGATCGAATAAAAACGGCTCCATGTTCGTTCTTGATTCGACCCCATAAATTAAAACCCAGGCATATTGAATCCGTTGATCCAGCTGGCCATGGAAATATGCCGCTCCAGCGCCAGCGTCTCTATCTACTAAAGTAAGTGGTATCCAAGAAGCCCCACACATTCATACCAAAATAAGCGGCACCACTACCTCATCTACACCAACTGCATTCATGCTGATGAAATTGCAACAAATGCAATCATTATGGAACCTCTAACAAAATTGGCAATTCATTTTTTAGAAATTATGGATAGTTCATTTCATTCAGAAATTAAAAAAGTCCAATCATTCGCCATCCTAGAATTCCTGAGTAAACATTTACCGACCAACGGTCTTGGTGCTAAACTACTTGCATCAAGGGTAGAATTGGACCAGTCAGTAGTGCATATTGTTAAGATTCGCACCTTCGATGCTATATGAAAGTTAGCCCAACATAAACTTAATAATATAATAATAAACAACAAAAACAACTGGTAAAACACGAAAACAAGTGAAATCAATGACGAACTTGGATTAATAACTAAATGACGTTACATGAAATAAACCCCTAGTTTTCGACCATATGAAATTCGACCGTTTTCTGTTAAAAGCAAAATGGCGGCAAAAAATTCCTACCAATTTTAATTAAATTATTGATTGTCCGACTTTCGGACATTTTAATTTAAGAACTACTTATAATTAACCAAGAAATTTGTAAAAATTATATGGATGGATGATAATGTTATATAAACACGTTTAATTAATTATGACGTAATTTTTTTTAAGAAAACGCCCGAAATTCGGATGCATAAAAACTGAACTTAAACGTTTTGATATTTTGACGTAACCAATTTACCTCTTTTTGTTTCCTAGTACTTTCCTACTACTATAATTTTTAGACTATACAGGGTGTCCCAGAAACAAGTGCAAATATTTTAAGGGGTGGTAGATCTCGATAAAAGAAACATATTTTCTCTTTGTCGTTTTTCAAATTAGTCAAAAATAACAGTTATTTTACTTGAAAATTTCCAAAAAAAATGATCTTTTTGCTAAAATTTTGAGAACCACTGGGTCTTTTCTGGATTTTCTTTCTTGTAAATTTAATCTAATACATATGTTGCCATATTATCAAGAAATTATGTTTTTTAACTAAAAATTTAAAAAAATTCAAAAAATTTTTCCAAAAATTTCGAATTTTCAATTTTTTTTTCGCGAAAAAAAACTCATAGGCGTGTTTCTGGGGTTGAAGTATACTACCAGTTAAAATATCTACACTTATTTCTGGCACACCCTGTATAATCCTAAGCGGCAGCCTAACATGATTATATAATATATTAACTCCGGTTAGAGAGAATATAGAAAGTCGCGGGGTTTGGCGCTGATATTTTGGAAATGTTGTGCTCTATTTAACTGTGCAAAGAGAAGTATACCCTCCTATTTAATTTTTTTAAGCAAAAGCGCAATATCTGTTATGATGTCAACCAGCGCCCTCTAGCTACCACGAAAAGAATTGTGGAAACAAAATTTATACTGGATATCATTAAGGAAGAAAAGCTCTTTTAAACGAGCCCTTTTAAATTGACTTTCATTGGGCGATAAAAATAGTTCGACAGTTATATTACAGAACTTAAAAGCTACTGGACAAATTGCTTAATGCACACTGATGGCAAATTATTTTAATTGTGTATTACTATAGATTAGTCCCATTCAGTTTCCATTTTACGTACTTTAATAATTTATGATTACCTTTACACGTTATAACCTATTCATTACTGCAAAAAAGATTTTGCATACAATAATTGCTATTAAATGCTTCTTGGTACTGTGATTAATTTATTAAGTTATGTACATCTTATCGTTCACTTACCAACATTGTATGTAGTTATATCTTAGTATGTTAACTTAATAATACCCTGGAAAGTGCAAAAGCTCATATTGAGATACTAGCTGGATTTGAGTCATTTTGACGTAATTTATTATAGTTGATTTTTTTGTATATACAAACACAGCTAGTATATAGCTGGTAGGCAATTTTTGAAGAATAGAGTGAAACATTACTTAAGTGAAGCGAGTGACTTAAATAGAACTTTTATATACAGTAAAACATTTTTGATATTCCGGTTGTACTTAAGCCACTCCGGTACCTACAGATGATGTTTAGCATGTCTGAGCTTCTTCTGAAGTTAGACAAATCTCAGATTACATATATTCGAGTTAAGTAGTAACTGGATTTGTTGCGACGGATAATTCTGCGCTCTATAGGAGATTCGGATTCCTTTGGGCAAAGATTTTTATCCCTTTGATGGGCTGAAATAGAATTATTTGAAATTAGAAAATATGTTGCATAAAATTGGCAAAAAAAGATCTTAGACCGTATACAGGGTGTCCCAGGCTAAGCGTGCATTAGAAGTTTCTAGAGAACCACAATATCTAGATCGGAGATTTTTTGCACATCATTGTTTTACAACGAGAACTATCGATTAAAAATATTTTCAATATGGCGGCACTTCCGGAAATACCGGAAGTTGACAGCAACTTTCCCCTTGCCCCCATTTTTTATTATGTACTTAAATTATCTGTAAAATTCTATGAAAATTGATGTCTATCACTCTATATCTAACATTAACCGTCTTTGAGAAAAACATTATTTAAAATTTTTGGACGAAAAAAACTACCTGTCAAGAAAATTTGTATAGCCTAAAAGTCAAGTTTAGTGATTACCACAGCCACTGTGACATAAAGAGAAGACATGTGGCTATCTATTTCAAAAATTAACTTGTTCAAATGTAATATAATAATGGCGGTAGCTGTCATGAAATTGAGTGATTATAAAATTATCATAAATCATTTTTTTCAAATGGAAAACCAGTTTTTTTATTCCACTAATGAAACGTTCAAAAACTGCCCCGTCTGTCCATAACAGAAGACGGTTGATATGTCGAACACCTGTAGCAAAATCTCAAGTTTTATTTATTTTTATTGTTATTAGATATAGGTAGTTTAAATGTGTTGATGTTGGTTAAATATATTTTAAATTGTTATAAAATTCTGCATCTCTCATAGCAAATATTATTTTCGCTTTAATTGATGCTCACAGCTAGATTTTTTTTTGCATTACAGCCGGTGCCGTTCAAAGCCTACTTATTTAAAGCGGGCGAATTTTTATATACTCTATATCTTGAAGAGGAATCGAGCAAAATATCAAGTGTGTTATATTTTTGGAAAGGTAATTAAATTCTTTTCAATAAATTAAAAATATACAGGGTGTCCCATATAAAAAATCAAATTATCTGTTGATAATTCTTAAATTATTCATTTTAAAAAAATTATACTTAAACCGTCAAATTCGGCAATTGAACGGCAAAGAGAAAAAAGAGAAATATGTTTCTTTTATCGAGATCTAAAGGCACTAACAATATTTGCACTGACCCTATAGTTATATACCTGTTCATAAAGAAATAAAAAATTATACAGGGTAAAGTGTATTTCTGCGCCTACCACGATGTCTTTTTCAATCAATAATACTAATAATGATGTGTTCTTTGATGCATTCAAAATTATTAAATTAACCAGAGCTCTCTCACAGCCACTGTGACATAAAGAGAAGACATGTGGCTATCTATTTCAAAAATTAACTTGTTCAAATGTCATATAATAATGGCGGTAGCTGTCATGAAATTGAGTGATTATAAAATTATCATAAATCATTTTTTTCAAATGGAAAACCAGTTTTTTTATTCCACTAATGAAACGGTTTTCAATTTGTTACTTTTTAACTATACATGTTCCTATACCTAAAATAAATCGTTTTTAAGTTATTTAATATTGAGTTAGAAAACGTATATTTTTCTTGATTTTATCTAGCTTCCTTTGACATTAAGTGTCAAACGGTCAGACAATTTATTTCCATCTGTCAGTAAACGAATTATTTGAATTTAATATAGTACAAATACTGCCCGCCTTAAGAGTTTAAAAAGTGTATTTATAAAAATATATCTCGTATTTTCGCTCTTTAGTGATATCTAATAGCTGATATTAATATTCCGTATGATCAAAAAAAACAGCGCAAAGTTGGCTCGAAAATTATGCTTCTTTTTGAACAAAGCGTCAACATATGACATGGCTAGATCTAGTGTTTTACATCACTTGATGTTTAAAGTCATAGGCTACTGGTTAAAATCAAGAAAAATATATGCTTTAAAACTAAATCTTAAATAACTCAAAAACGATTTATTTTAGGCGAGATTTTAGGTATAGGAACACGTATAGTTAAAAAGTAACGAATTGAAAAGCCTTTTCACTAGTGAAATTAAAAAGTGGGTTTCCATTTGAAAAAAATGATTTATGATAATTTTTTAATCGCTCAATTCTATGACAGCTGCGGCCATTATTATATGACATTCGAACAATTTAATATTTGAAAAAGATAGCCACATGTTTCGTCTTTATGGCACAGTGGCTGTGATAATCACTAAATTTGACGTTTAGGCTAGACACATATTTTTGCCAGGCAGATTTTTTTGTTCAAAAATTTTAAATAATTTTTTCCTCAAAAACGGTTATGTTAATGTTAGATATTATAGAGTGTTTAATATCGAAATTCATAAAATTTTACAGAGAACTTAATTGTAAGTACATAATAAAAAATAGGGACACCCATTTAAAAAAAGAAAATCGCTGTCAACTTCCGGTATTTCCGGAAGTGTCGCCATATTGAAAATATGTTTAATCGATGGATCTCGTTGTGAAACTACGATGTGCAAAAAATCTCCGAGCTAGATGTTGTAGTTCTATAGAAACTTCTAATGCACGCTCAGCCTGGAACACCCTGTATAAAGGTTTGGTCAACTTTCGTTTACTTGAAATCATTACTGGAAGTTATGTAAGAAATATTTGTTTATTTAGTATTTGTGTGGATTGCCTTTTCGAATAGCATGTCACAACAATTTTTCTGCGGAAATGCATCATTTTCAGTTTTTCAACTTTAGAATAGCTGAAATGATGTCCACTTTCGTGTACTTAAAATCAGTTATAGAAGAAATATTTGTTTATTTAGTATTTGGAAGCCTTTTTGAATAGTATGTCACAAAAAATTTCTGCGGAAATGCATCATTTTCAGTTTTTCAACTTTAGAATAGCCAAAACCAGTTACATAAAAACACGTTTCTGTTTTTCATTCTAGAAACTTTTCTAAACATAGACACGCAAAAAAACTTCTTGCGGAGGTATACCATCTTCATTTATTGATAAAATATTGTAAAATATATATTTCGAAAGTACTAGGTAATTGGAATTCGTAGACAGACGCGTTTTAGCTTGCAGCGTATTTTGATTGCTTTGGTTAGGTTTTTTTGGTTTGTTGGTTCATTTTTGTTTATTTTCGTTCTTTCGGAATAGTAAGATAATTAATTTAGAAGATAAAATTATGGAAAATTCCCAGGATTTGCAAGAAACTTTGAATGATAAAATGACGGAAAATTCCCAAAAATTAGAAGATAAAATCATAGAAAATTCTAAAGATATACAGGCCAGCTTTAATAATAAAATACTTAATTTAGAAGAAAGTTTATATAACAAGATAATAGAAAATTCCAGGGAATTAGAAGAAAAGATTATAGAGAATTCCACGGAGCTACAAGACAAAATAGCACAGATTGAGGACGATGTTAACAGAAAAATCGAAATTTTAAAAGAAGAAATAGCGAAGTCGAATTCACCAAAATGTCAAGAAACATCGGAGGGACCGAAACTAGTCGAAAATAGGTATGCCTCAAAATCAGTTATGAAACCTCCACAGTTTGACGGAAAAACCGCTTGGGCCAATATATATTTTTGCCAGTTTGAGGCCGCTGCGAGAGCGAACGGATGGACAATCGCTAAAAAGGCTACCGCTTTGACTGTCGCACTGCGGGGAGATGCGACTGACATCTTGCAGACACTGTCACCATCGGAACAGGGAGATTATCAGCAATTGGTACGACATTTAGAAATGAAGTACGGCCAAGCTCATTTGGAACATGTCTACCATTCCCACCTCAAAAATCGTGTTCAGCAGCCTAATGAGACTCTAAGAGAATATCAAGCTGAAATAGTCCGCCGTGCTCGCCTTGCGTACCCTGCTATGCCCGAAAATGTTATGGAGCGCTTAACAGTACAGGCTTTTATTGATGGTTTACGTGACAACGAGACAAGGCAAACACTTCTTTTAGCTCATCCAACGCATTTGGGAGATGCCCTAGCACGTGCCCTGGAATTTGAGGCCGCGAAAGAATGCTCTAGGTCTCTAGGATTTGTACGGACTGTTGAGGAGAGTTCCGACGATTCCAAAGTGGAAAGGATTGTGCGGAAAGTACTGGATCAGTATATGAGCAAGAATCCGTTCTATCGGTATGACATTAACATCTAAATACAGTATCTACTAGGTTAAGTTCATACCTACACAAGAAAAGTGTTTAGAATGTAAAGCAGGAACACGTTTTCATGTAACTAATTTCAGTTATTCTAAAGTAGAAAAAAAGAGAATGATGCATTTCCGTACAGAAATTTTTATGATTTTCTGTTGGGGAGGCTTCTATATACTGGATGTTTTGTTGTTTTTTATAAGTGATTTTAATTAGAAATTTAAAAAAAAGTTCAACCAAAGGTTTTAAATGTCGAATGCTAATATATCATTTTTATTCAAAAGTAAACAATTTTTTCTGTCAATTTTTCAATATAATTTGTATAATTAATTGTTCCTTCGCAGGTTTGACAAACTTTAGTTTTAGTTACTGTGTAATATTCATGTGTTGTATGTCATTTTAATTCAAAAGTAAAATATCAGTTTTGGTCTTCTGTCAAGATCGTCATTTCTCTCGTGGTTGGACAGATTAAAATTGAAGAGATTAAAACATACCTGTAGACAAGTCGCCTCATCTCAAGAATCGATGCTTTTACTCTTTCTACCCCTCAAAGACCCGACTATCGACTTCAAAGCCGCTCCGATACTGCTTCCTGGAGTGTTTACGTTGCTGCCGCCGCTACCCAGGCCTTGGGGATGAGCATCCAAGCATTTCTGATATCTTAGCTGCAGAAAAAAATAAGGTTAACAAAAAAACTTCAAAATGGCTTCATTTGATTGCCTTTACCTTACAAGCTGCTTCGATTGTCTTACACAGCGCTCCAGAAGAAGGTTCGCAGTAAAATACGTGAGCCATAAACGTGTCTTGAGCCGTGTGCATAACGAAGGCGCAATGTTTGATATTTTTTCCTATTCCTAAAAACGACAAGTACCTCACCCTACATTCGGCCAGTAAACGATCGTCCTGAAAAAATCTATATCAAAAACCGATCAAAGTCAACAAATCGTTCTTACTGTAGGATGATGAACTGATATCATAGATGGTGCAATGGATATGTTGACGGCTTGCCACTTATCGGGAGTGACGCCCGTTGATAATCTGTCAATGGCGTCATTTAACACTTCCATTCCTGTCGCCTGATTAACTTGAATGCAACCTAGGTATTGAGCTTTTAATATTTTCTTTGGTTCTTCCATGGGAGTTGGAAAGGACTGAGCTAAAAATCATAACATAATTTAAAATTTTATTCTGTTAAAAAATAATTTAATACTAGAAACAACAACTTGGGAGTGTTTTGATATTTTTCGAAATAATACTATCAACATTATGAAATGTTTAGATAAAATAAACAATTTAAAAAATAAAGAGTTCGCATCGTCGCGTTTTCTACAAAGATAGTTATTTCTGTCTAATTTAATCTCAAAACATTTCAAAATAACCATTGAACAAAAAGACCCAGGAAGAAGAATATTAGCAAATCACAAGCGGCTATTCAGAAAATGTCAAAATTCGTCTTCGATGTTCGCTGCCCCTTACATCAACGGAAAATCGTATTAAAATTAAAAAGTTAATATAAAAGCTAGATAAAATTTAGAAAAATATACGTTTTAAAACTAAATTTTAAATAACTTAAAAATATTTTAGGTATAGGAACATGTATAGTCAAAAAATAACGTATTGAAAAACCTTTTCATTAGTAAAATAAAAAAGTGGGTTTACAATTGAAAAAAAAAATTCATGATAATTTTTTAATCGCTTAATTCCATGACAGCTATGGCCATTATTATATGACATTCAAACAATTTAATTTTTGAAATATATAGCCACATATCTTCTCTTTATCTCACAGCGACTGTGGTAATCACTAAATTTGGCGTTAAGACTATACAAATTTTTTTGAAGGGCAGTTTTTTTCGTCCAAATATTTTAAATATTTTTTTCTCAAAAACGGTTAATGTTCGGCATAGAGTGTTTAATATCAAAATTCATAAAATTTTACAGAGAATTTAAGTATGTAATAAAAAAGGGGATACCCTTTTAAAATAACAAAGTTGCTATCAACTTCCTGTATTTCCGGAAGTGCCACCATATTGAAAATAGTTTTAATAGATAGATCTCGCGAAACAATGATGCGCAAAAAATCTCTAATCTAGATATTGTAGTTCTCTAGAAACTTCTGCCTGTGACACCATGTATATGATATAAACAGGGGCGGATACAGGAATTTATTTTAGGGGGGGCCCAAATAAAAAAAATTATGTAGAATATGCTTTTTAGGGCGCCACTTTTAACCCAAAAGGCTAATATTTAACCCAGTTTACAGATTTTAGGGGGGGGGCGGGCCCCATGGCCCCCCCTCTGTATCCGCCACTGGATATAAAATTATGACACATACAAACAAAAATCTGGCTATTCCTAGCAGGTCGTCGATGTTCCGTGGGAAGATTACAGGGCCTCGTCGCTATAGTACGACCATTTGGATCCACCATCTTGCCTAAATTTTGCTGAAGACTACGCTCAATCATAATCTTCTTACAGATATCTCTCAGCGTATTCGCTATAGTCCTGGCTGGCATATCACACCGAAATACATGACACATATGCTTGCGCGTCGTACGATCTCTAGCTACATAAGCGAAGTCCCTATATAACAGATACAGTATTAATCATTTCTAGCTATTTTTTTATAGCATCGTAACATACCGCTCCCTACATTATCCAAGCAGCATTAAAAACGAGAAACAAGTATTTTTAAATATAGAAAATAACGTTTTTTTTTACAAAAACTTACCGTCCATTGTCTCTACCAACGCCCCACACTCTTATAGTGTGTATCGGCTGAGTATTCAATATAGTTAGGTTTTCTGGGTCAAACAACTTCAGTGCGCCTTCGTCCAAATCCATAAATAGATCCTTCCCCTGTGACATTATAAATTTCGCATAAAATATAGTCTAGATTAAGGATTCGCTACCCACTTACAAAGATGATGACTCAAAATCGATTGAAGATATTATTCGTCAAATTCCTTAGTAAGATTGTGTTCAAAGATCGAGGTTTTAAAATATCGCTATTATTATATACTATCGATACCAAATAAACTATTAGTTACGTCATTGAGGGCGCGATTATTAAATTCACTGTTGCCAACCATTGACATATTCGGCGCCAGGCTGACTAACTGGAAATAAAATTTCCCGCTGGGAATTCAGGTGGTAGCTCTGCTGTAAAAATGTCAATTTGCCACATTTATTTATTTATTTCCTGACATTTTGATTCGTTCTGATACTTTAGTTTTGTATTATTGAGTTTTTGGTTTAAGTGAATTGTATTGGAATACTTTAAGCTTAATTTTTTTACTAGTTGACCTTGCAGTCGAAAAAATTGGTCTTTTTAGAACCGCTTGTAGTGCGGAGGGTACAAAATGCCGAAGCAGCTTAATAACGGTTGCAAGAAACTTATCGCAACCTTATTAGAATATTTTGAACGGGAAAGCGGTAATAATGGCCATTTATGTCCCTTAAGTTCTGTTAAGGAGGTGAGTTTTGTTGATGTAAATAATAACTCTTTATATATTTACAATTAATTAATTTGTTTCCTCAAATATTTTGAATAAAAGAAAATATGTAAAAGTTGGCAACGCGCTGTGCTGGTCAAGCTTAATCACGTGACTAAAAGTTTATTTGGTATGACCTATTGTATAGATGTTTAAATTGGCGTGATAGAGCAAAATTTAGATATTATAAAAATGTTTAAAAATAGTATCTAATAATATGTATCATAACACATATTATATCTAACTTGAAGCCAATAAATATATATTTTAATCAAATTAAAATACATAGTTATGGGCTTTAAGAACTAAAGAAGTTTCTTAAACATACAACCTGCGATATAACTGTGCAAACTATTGAACCTCAAACTTAATATCACAAAATCCCAATCAGGTAACCAACTTGTTAATAAAATTTTCAGTACTTAAAAATAAAAACTGAAAAATCGACCCTTTGCAAATGGAACGATGTTACAAAAAATATCGATTTAGATAGCAAATCCCTAGGTTAGATAATTTTTAAGGGTTACTTACGTCGCCCCATCTGCCTACAACGTCCAAAAGATCGTTCTTTCCTAGAGATAAATCGACTATACACTTATTAACAGCTTTACTACTCCGCTCGGGCGTCAGATCCTCTTCCGCAATCTCAACCCATCCGAGTGACCTCACAGCGAATCGGATCGGCCTCTCTTTCACTTCCTGGTCGGACTTAGAGGGAAAACTCCTTCTTCTAAAGTTAAACCCCGTTTATACGAGTTTTATATAAGTTTTTTTTAACTAACTTTAAAGCCAGCTCTTCTTTTCGTTTCCTATCGTCCGCATCGAGATCCAGTGCAGAACTGGTACTACTTCTAGTTACCACCATGCTCGGCTCGAAAGACGTAATGAAGTCGCTCTCCTTAAAACTGGCTTTGGAGTCGCACTTTTCCTTTTCGAAATCTGCCACGGGCATCTCTCGTTGGATTGTGCCGCTTTTGATGTGCCAATAGTACGGCCCATCGTTGTCTGAAACAATTCAGTATGATTTTAATGTATTATCGTTGATTGAAAGAATTGGGATGATATGCAACCTAATGGGCGAATTCGTGACAATCGGCTGATTTGATTTCCCCTTACGTCTCAGGCATATATATTGTTACGTTTTTCGTCGGTTCCGTGTGGATAGAAAGTCACAATTCATTTAAACACTATTTATTTAACACTAATTAACAAAAACAATAACGATTAAAAGACTTAAAGAACTATTTATAACTTATTTACAATTTATCTAATTATTTATCTAACAGAAATTTATTTTGAATTAGCGCGGCGATTGTAACTGTACGCGTCGATCGGTTATTTATCTCTCTATCCCCTTCAGGTTTCGGGCATCGGCTTATATATGAGAGAAACAGACAGTCCAGACATATCTCGAAAATTCTTAGCGGCGTTCTTCGAACGTCGGTGGGCGTATGAGTCATAGCCGAGTGGCCAAGCCTAAGGCCGAGTTCACACGGTACGGGTCCGCAACAATATATTAACTAAAGAATATCGACTCCAAACTGAATTCTGTGATGCCAAGCCGGTGAAATGGGTATATAAATCTTCTGAAGGAATCAAGCTAAAGCTACGCTCAAGCGTAGTGCGCAAGTCTGGATTTTGAATTATCGATCGGATAACCAGACCAATAAGAGACTAGACGCTAGCACCAGATATTCATTCGTACGGCTCCGTCCAACTTCGTACGGCTTTCGTTTGCGTTCCTGTTCGACAATTGGCTAATCTTCAGAATAAGGGCTAATCGATATTCGGAATTTTGGAGTTGGGCTCTTGCGCCAGTATCTGCCTAACAGACGAATTTATGAGAAATATACATGGACCGATTATCTAGTTGTCTCTAACTCGGCTTCAACTCCAACACATTGCAGGGATAGGCGATAATCCGTATATATTTTATATGTATATGGTCTCAAGTGCTATACGGTGGAGACATCAATCGTTCTGCGGTCAACGCATAAAACACTTATTTTTTTCTAATTCATCCAGCGAAGGCATATCGAAGACGGTGTGGATCTGAAAGCGACAGTGTTGCCATATTAAAATGTGTAATATCTGTAATACGTTTGACGAAAATATCTTTGGATTAAAAATCCGCGTCTAATTATTGAACGTTTATTCGTGTTAAACATAGAATCAACAACAAAAATAAAAATTCTTTTATAGGTACTGAATGTGTAAAAAAACAGTTTGGTTGGCTTTTACCATAATATTTTACATATGAAATAACAGCGATCTTCATTACCAAAACAACTTTGACGCCGTTCTTTGTTTAACCATATATTATATTAAATTGTTTAATGATCGAAAATCCGTACTATCAACGTACTGTACCCAAAATCCGTAAATCTACGGATTAATAATCAGTAGCTCTAGCAACACTGTCTCAGGCAACCACTCATTCTGTCGACTGAAAGCAGAACTACAATACAGTATTCTTTATCCGCTGCGCTGTAAATGACTATCAGCGCGCAGCGGCGCAGAACTAAACTAAATCTCGTAATTCTCGGACAGGCTGACGGTAACGCCAGCTACATCTCGGACAGGTTTTGTGCCACGAAATTGCCCACAAGGTTGCGCATCTTCTTATTCCTTCAATCAACGGTATTATAGTTCAATTGCCAGGGAGAGGGAATGGGAGAAGGAGTAGTTTCTGTGTTTCAATGGGGAGCAATAATTCCAAATAATTATTCTTAATAACTGACCTTCATGTTTCTCCCAACCTGGCGGTAAAATATCCTTATCCCAATCTTCATCTGGACTGATAATATCATTCGACTTTTCTATCGATGATTTGCTGAATTTTTTAACAGGTACGGCATAAAGATCGTTAGTCAAACCTCCCACGATATGGGGCACTGAATCTTCATTCTCTGTCATTTTGTCGCACAAACTGAAAGAAATATTTCTTTTAATACAATTTCGATAAAAAATAGTTGATACAGTAGCATGACGGCTCTTAAATACTACTTAACTATTTGCAAAATGACAATTTTATTTGTGAATGAATGCGTATATGAATGGGGTGCCGTCATGCTACTGTAGAGTATAACAATATCTAATAAAATAGAAGAGAATTACGTACTCATCCCAATAAGTAGAGCTATTATTTTTGTCTCTTCCTGTAGTAGTGTCAGTATTCCCATTCCATTCCACATTCCTACGCATAAAGATCTTTGTTTTATGTCTTGAAATGTAAAAGGTACTAAAATAGCTTGTTATTTCTTTAGTCTACTGATACAAAATGACATCAGTATATATCAGTGTAAAAGTGATCTAAAATTTATAATGCCACTGTTTATTTTTGAATTTTATCTTGATGATATTGTCAATTAAAAATAAAAGTAAACTCTTTTCATTAGAACTATTTATTTTTGTATTTTATCTATGCGCAATTATGATATTATCAAATAAGCGCATCACTTATTTAGATGTTTTTTTCTAGATCCAGGAGGTTCTGTATGGTGACAGTTAAAGAACCCTTATTATAATTCATGCCATTTATTTATTACTTACTAATATTGCTAATTTTAAACTAAAGTGTCGATACTCAGTAGGGTGGGCCAAAAAAACTAACCTATGGAATTCATGGGTTAAAATGACTTAATGAAAATGGGTTAATGACCGAGAAAAAATATCGCCGGAAGGCAGGATTTTTAGCTCAATTTTAAAAGGTGTCGGTGGACATTCAAAGTTTTCCATTTAAATAACACGTAAAAAAATATTTTTCCATTAAAAGTACCGTAACTTTGAAACGATTTACGATAAAAAATTTGACATAGCGGCTTCTTGTAGAGCATAAAATTTACTAAAAATCTATCTGAGGGTGATTTTTTTCAATTCAATATTTAGTATATTTAAAAGCTTTAAAAAGTGAAAAAATCAAAATAATATGCAGTTTTAGTGTTTATTGATTAAAAATTTTCATATATAGCAAAAAAACTAGATTACTCTCAGATAATTATTCTCAGATAGCAATTTTATGCTCTACAAGAATCCGCGATGAATTTTATCGTAAACCATTTCAAAGTTATGGTACTTTTAATGGAAAAATATTTTTTTACGTGTTATTTGAATGGAAAACTTTGAATGTTCACCGACACCTTTTAAAATTGAGCTAAAGTTCCTGCCTTCCGGGGATATTTTTTTCTGGATTATTAGGTTCATTTTAACCCATAAATTCCATAGGTTAGTTTTTTTGGCTCACCCTAATACTCAGTTTACAGAAACGATTAGTAGTAAACCACACCACACCAAAATACCTCTACCCGAAAAATATATCATTTAAAAAATATGCAGATTATAACCAGAAATATATTGGACAGTCTTGATAATCAATCACTAGAACAGATAAACTCTTTGTTGATCAATGTATTTCTGGTAAATATCAATGTATAGACGTTAATAAGTAAAAATTAAGCATGTAACAAATTATAATCAATTAGATGTTGAAAAGAGTATTAAAATAAATAAAGGTAAAACGAGTATAAACAGATATATACAGGGTGAGTCTTAAATAAGTGCAAATATTTTTAGGGGTAGTATATTTCGACCCCAGAAACACAATTATGAGTTTCTTCTCGCGAAAAAAAAATAGAAAATTTGGAAGATTTTTTAGTTTTTAGTTAAAAGACATAATAATATGGCAAATTTACAAGAAAGAAAACCCAGAAAAGATACAGTGGTTCTCAAAATTTAAGCAAAACAATTTTTTTTGGAAATTTTCAAAGTAAAATACTTAACTGGGCTATTTTGGACTTATTTGAAAAACGGCATTTGCACTTATTTAAGACTCACCCTTATAATGGAAAAAATATTCCGTGAAGTTTTTTGTTTCTTTTTCAGTTTCCAAAAATCTATTGATAAAGCTCGTCAAATACAGGAGGATATCAATTCTCGATGCAACTCTACTCCTTTGATGTGCAGTAGACAGATGGGTAGACATCGACAGTTTATTTTGCAGTTGCATGTCGTATCGGCGCTTGTCCTTAGCGTATAGTCGTAACATGTCGTCCAGCATGTCAAAGCAGAACAATTTACATTATTTTCGAGTTCGAGAGTTGGCTGCTAAGAAACGAACAACAACACAACAGGAAATAACAATTTTCTCGTAAATTTTCATAACTGAGGTATGTTTTGTATATACCAATATAAGTTCTGTCTTCATCAATAAATTCCGCACTTTTTTGCTTTACATCAATTCTGTCAATTGTTAAAAATAAAGTGACGAGGAAAGATTTAACATTTTTTAGATTCAAAAGTTGATATCAGATGAAAAACAGTATTTTTTTCTACTCGTAGATCTATAAACTATACCGAAATGGCTTTTTAGTGATCACTAGATGAAGAATTTCTCGCGAACCACTCATTAGATTTTGATGATTTTTTTTTAAATTGTAAATTAATTCCTTCTTAACGGATGCTACGTCAGAAATTTTTATTCCGAATTTATTTTGAGCATATACAGGGCACAACAATAAGACGACGTTTTTTGCTCGAACTTTGTGACACCCTGTAGGGTGCAGCAGCTGTAGTAGCTATTGCTAAATCAAATCACATTGTAGCCCCATCTTTTGTGAGCATTTCGTTTTTTTAATCACGACATTATCTCTGTTTGTATTGGAGATACGTTGCTTTAAAACGAACGTCTCGGAAAAATGCTTTGCAGGCAAAACCGCGACCAAACCAATTCACATGTAAACGCACAAACTGAAGACGTGCTCGACGATGTCTTGGAAGTAGCTGGGGTCCTGTGGCAGGCCTCCTTGCAGACAAGCTGTTTTCTTTTAGTCTTCGTTTGATTGTTCTCTCTCTCACTGACTTGAGTTCTACGCAATAACGCTAAGACTTGTAGCAGATGTTGATTTTGAAACGCTGTAATTCTAAGATTTCGTAAAGTATTCAGGACAATAAAGCGGTCGTCAATTGCATTTGTCTTCCGTTTTCTTCCGGAACCCACTCGCCTGGTGAAATTTTCCGTTTCCATATACCGATTCCAGGCATCGTGGACGCATATTCATATTCTGCCAACGTAATACGACTTCGGCTGGATTCGGACCGGGCGCCGTGAAGCGTTAGCAAATTATGAGCATCGCAACTGCCCATTGGCACTTAATGCCTGTTTAAGCACTAGGTGTAATTTAAATAATTTGATGATTAGATGCGTAAATGCTTAGTATTTGAAGGAAAAGAACAAAAAGTGATATGAGAACGGTTTCAAAGTTCTTGAAATGGAATGCCTCCTGCTGGAGACTGCGTCTTAAATATGTTTTTTTTAGATTTTTCCAATTTTTTGTTCTAACAGTCGTGGTAGCTTGCCAAGTAATTTTTGTTAAATCTCCTAATTCGATTACCCATTTCTGTAATAAATTATTTAAGTTTTAATACCTAATATAACATTTTTTGAGTAGAGAGTCGCATAAAGTTATACTCTTCGATATGTTTTCAAAATGTTATAATATAGCCCTTGAGACAAAAAAAAATGGCACCGAAAAATATTCACAAAAGATCGACAAATGAACATGTAATCGTTTAGAGTTAGCTAATTTGCTTTATAACATAATTTTAATATATTTTTGTATTATTTTCACTAGCGACGCAACCTAAGCGCCATCAGTTTCCCCTTTTAGATAGGTTTCCATTTCCCAACTTTGGAGAAGGATAATTGCTCCGATTATGAAAAAAAAACATAAACTCTATGTGTTTCTCTACAGTAAACGTTATAACCTAATATAACTTTCCATAGCAAAAAAAACTAGTGAACAAATTAGCCACGAATATTCCAATCATAATATTATCAATAGAATTTAATTTCGGTTATTTTATCTACAGTGATTTCACGTGCAATATTAAATCAAACTGATATAAGGAAAACACTATGATGGCAAAAAATATGAATCTTTTCACCTGATTCATCGCCTCAAACGGCACTATGCTTCTAACGTAAAACAGAAATAACTTAACAGATATAAATTGAGTATCACTCCGCTTGCAACAGCATGCCACTGGAATCAAGGTCCGTGTGACCTTCCAACAGCTTAGTTTGGATGGTAAAAAGGGATGAATCACGCGTAAACATTCGTGGTTTTCATCATACCACATATAGTGAGCTTCGGTTAATAGTAATTAATAAAAGTCAACTTACATCTACTTCTTTTTTAGTATCACTGTTAATTCTGAACTCGTTCTGGCTGATATCAAAATAATTGTACTCTTGAGGCCTTTGGATAGCCAAAATGGTAAATTTTCAAACAATTTTTAATAGCTAACAACATGCAAAGCCAAATTTTTAAATGAATAATTTGAAGACTAAACAACAAACTGTGTCGGACGGTAAATAAACTGCCAACGTTAGTTCAATCATATTTTCCAAACGCTAGGCTCAAACGCGAATTCGGCCGTATAAACTGCCAACGTTAGTTCAATGTAATCATATTTTGCAAACGTTAGACTCGAACGCTTGCGACTTTAGCCGAATATCGTATTACGTTGGCAGAATATGAATATGCATCCTGGACTGTTGTTCGAGGTATGCCCAGGGTATCGGACACATAACGTTGACTTCGGCCATCCTCAATTAAAGTCACAATACAAGCAACACCAGTCACAGATAATGGCATTTTTTAGTTTGACAACCGTTATTGTCATATAGCAAATACTCATAAATCCGTTTTGTCGCCTCAAACATAAAACTTTCTACCTGCGAAGCATTTTTCCGAGACGTTCGTTTTAAATCAGAGTATCTCCAATAAAAAGAGAGATAATGTCGTGATTAAAAAAACAAAATGCTCAAAAAGGATGAGGCTACAATGTGATTTGATTTAGCAATAGCTACTACAGCTGCTGCGCCCTACAGGGTGTTACAAAGTTCGGGCAAAAAACTTCGTCTTATTGTTGTGCCCTGTATATGCTCAAAATAAATTCGGAATAAAAATTTCTGACGTAGCATCCGTTAAAAAGGAATTAATTTACAATTTTAAAAAAATCATCAAAATCTAATGAGTTGTTCGCGAGAAATCCAACTTTGAAATTGAGATTAGTTTTTAGTGGCCGATTTTTTTTGCCGGTGAGTTTATTTTGTAGGTATGTACAGTACGTCTGTCCGTTCTGTAGCTACGGAGTATCCGTGAGAGGGGAAACGATATTCTCTCGATGTTTTTCGTAAAAAATTCGAGGACGCGTCCCATCAATAGAAATTTGACAAATTTGCAAGTAACCAATAAAATGAGTGGGTGGAGCGATTTGCGGTGACGTACTCGTCAAGTCGACGTATAAAATACATTGTTGTTTATTTAAATGTTTTTTGTCCGCATTCCTTTCGTAGACACAGATCCAGCAGACGTACTGTATATGTGACGAATTTAATGAAATACGAAGATAATGTCTCGAATTAAATTTTTTTAGGAAAAAACAAAACTCGAAAATAATGTATTTTTTTCTAAAATTCGACTTTTACTACAGTGGCAAAATATCCAGATATCATCCAATATTTGACAGCTCTACGCTCTATCGAGTTTGTAACGCTCGGTTACGATGCATACAGATTGTTAAAAAATGTATTTTTTGGTGCAGTGTCAATCTGAATTTTATAAAATATATTTTATTAGAGGGTCTTCCTATAAGACCGCGGTTACAGTGGACGCGGGTCCGTGCGTTTTTTTATACGTGCGAGCTCTGACGGAATTTACTCGCACGACTATTTTATTTTAGTGGTTACATTAGATGCGGCATTCATGGTGTTCCGTGTGTCGAGTTTGTCAAAACGGACGCCACTACTTTGATGCTGTCTGAGGATTTAATGCTAAAATAACTCCTTATGAACAGAAGAAAATGTTGGGTAAATGATTTATATGCAAAAAAATGGGAAGAAAATGAATATGTAAAATATTTGGTGAATTAAAACAGCAACCGATCAAATTTTTTGAATATTTTAGAATGTTTCCAGCAACATTAATATTATCTAAATAAAATTAGCCTGGTATTCAAAAATATTCAAATTTTTCGAGAATGTATTGGGCCCAGAGTATAATAATTCGAACGCTCGGACGTGCACGTATTAAAAAAACAAACCAGTTTGTTTTCATCCGACCAACGAAAATTAACCTACGTGCACGGACGCGCAAACTCCGATGCAATGTAACCGCCTCACAGTGGGGTATTTGACACTGATAGTTGATCGAAATTTTTTTATGTAGACCTTATATAAATTATTGCTATTTTCAATTAAAGAGGAAATAATATGAACAAAATAAAGGATAATTCGTCGATTCTAAAAAAAGAAAGAAAAATCACTGTTCCAGTGTTTCCACGGTCAGTGCCAGTAGTAATATCGCAACTACTACTACTAATGCTACGACTGATTCGCGAGCAATGCCCATACCACTAAAGTCGCTACTAATGCCAAATTGTGCTATACTGCTAATGGCACTAATGCGATCGCTTTGTACACAACAATGCCATCGCGGTTTACACCTCGCATTAGTATAGCACTGATTGGCAAATTAGAGGAAACCAAGAATGTTTTTCTCATTTTATCTGCAAAATAGCAAAAAGTCGCAGTATTTTATTTTACTGTATGAAAGCCCAATGTTTACTAAGTAAAACGTATATAGACAATATGCTGAATTCTTCGAAATGCGCAACTAAATCTCTAAGTATAATAAAAATGTCACAAATTTAATCAAATTTTCTGAACGCCTAACTTTTGTTGCAAAAAAATCGTTAGTATAGAGAATATCAAAATAAATAATACGTTTTTGTAGAATACATACCTGCAGCTTGCTGAGCCATTTTCAATCAAAACAATAATATCAACGTAAAAAGAGCACAAGAACAACAACAATTTATAATTTTAAACATAAAATTTAGCCATTTACCTCTTATCTGTGAGAAGTAAAAACATGGTAACAACTTTGACGTTTCGTTGAAACAAATAAATGCAACTAAACACCCATAGCAACGCCATTCATGGCAGAGATGATTTAACTTATCATTTATCTTTTTTTGGGAAATCTTAAACACATTTGCTTTATCGAATTTCGATCACCTTTTTCATACTAATACCCCACCGTGCGCTTGGGTAGATACCATTTGTTTGTTTTTTGCTGCGTGCACGTCCGCGCACGTACGACCAAAAAAACGCACGGATACGCATCCAATGTAACCACGGGCTAATTCTACAATCGTTTTGTTCACTTACAACAATGCTTACCTTCTGTTATCTATCAAATTGGACGGACCTAAGGGACCGGTGGTGATGTCTACGCCCATCGACTCCACGTCCAGAGCGGCGTAAGCCTTGCGTCCCGTACCACCGTTGACTGAAGACTTGACGCCCGTGTGTCCCATGTTGCAAATGTCGTCCAGTTCCTGGTAGATTTCGTCATAGAGATTCTCCGTGTTGGAATTTAAGGCGTCGTCCAGACGCTTCGAAGGTCCTAAGTGATAGTTCGGATTCTCGTAGCTCAACAACCCATTTTCTATCAAAGAAAAAATAGATGTGAAGAAGTAGGTAGAAGAATAAATGAAGAATGAAAGCGCCACCCGAAGATGAAGACAAAGTTGGGTTGCCCACAAGAAACCTCATAGAAAAAAAGCTTAAATTTCAAGAAACCATTTTCATATCAAACAACATCTTAAGCAATGCTAGTATAGAAATTTTTATAATAATAAGTTAATATAGCAACCACTCATAAAGTGCATATATAAAGTGGATAACATCACGCTTGAGAATAACTCTATATTCTATTATATACGAGTAGTACTCTAAGTAAGCTTTTGAATTTAGATTATTTTATTTCAAAATTGAAGATACTATCAGTCCAAGAAGATTATTATTTCATTATAAAACTAATTTATTGAAGCAAAGATCGAATATTTCTGGATTTTTACAACAATTTTCTATCCAAGGTATTGACAAACAAATCGCGATACTCTATATTATCGATATTTTTGGCCCTCTGAATTGAACGAAGAGGGTATGTTTTAGTTTCTTGGTTTTGTATTAATGTTGTTTTTTCTGAAATAAAGGGGTTTTCAATATAATTAATTCTAACCTTCATCTAATTCTCACTTTCAGATAATATAATAGTAGACTTAACTAATAAGGAATCAATTTCAAGGTAACTCGTTTTTTTTCTAAATCCCGCGATCAAAAAAATCATAATCCCGAAATCCCGGGATTGAATGCCCTAATGCTAATGCAGCCTGCCGTGACGTGACTATTAATTTATATCGATCTGGTCAACTGCATGGTCTGGATTTTAACGTGTGGAAAATCAAATCTATTAAAAAGAGATAAAAGTTGAGTTGATACATTTCTTCTATCTATTTTTTTCTTATATATAAATTTCAAACCATAAAAGTAGGCTTTTATGAAAAATGTTGCATCTAGGTTTTGAACTTTATTTTTCACAATTAGTTACTTATTTTAATACACCTGTAATAGATTATATTTAGCTTAGACATATTATCTACATTTCAGTAGTATATTGAAAGTTTTTAAAATAGTTTATTTTTTTACCCAGATTTACCTACAAACGTAAGAACCGGCAACACTGTATGATGCTTTTTATTTCGTCTCTCTGTCTTTCAACAGGTCATTTATATTTATCTCTGTCGCATGCATTAAAATACAGACCACGCAGATAAAGTGACCAGATCTAGAATACCTATATACCTATTAGTAGTTAATTCTAAAATGTTAAGAGTTTCAGTTATTATAGGTTAGGTTAGATCGTTAACATTTACTTTGAGTACCGTTAACAGTTACTTTTGCCGTGATTTTTTGATATCAGTGATTAAATGTGATTTAACACACACATTTAATCAGTGATTAAATGTGTGTGTTTTCGCTCATCACTAGTAGATATTTTATCTGTGGACTTGGTAAAGATTTATATCGGTTTGTACCTTAGACAAGGAAAGAGAGGGGACGGATAATACAATTAAAAAAATTCTGTGAGCGCCAAATCGGCTAGGCTCCAGGCCAAGGCTGTTTGTGAAAAGTGATTCCTGATCTTTTCTCTCATTACGGCTCTTACAGCTGTAAGTACAACAAATCACCCTATTTAAATAATAAAAACTTCAAGTCTTTAAAAAGCTTTTTACAGCACAAACTACAAAAAAACACACAAACGGACGCCAAATCACAAAATTTGATATTGGCCGTAGATTTCGATTACGCGTCCCCTCTCTTTCCTTGTCTCAGGTTTTTACCGAGGAAGACGTCCTCGTCTAGGGCCTGCTGGGCGGCGGTGAGGGCGGCCATGCCTTGCACTAGCGCCAGCAGCGACACGAAGGGCGACCGCGAGCCGAGCGCGTCCGGCGATAGGGGGGCGCAGTGCAGGTTCAGTAGGGGCGAGCCGCGCAACTCGCCGCACAGGAGCATGCCCACCAGGCGCGACCCGATACCGTCCAATTGTCGTTTGGTTTACCTGAAACAAAAACAAACATTAATAAAAATACTTTGCATACATTTTGGCTATGATATTGAAAGAAATTAATGAAATACTTTTGTAACTTTCTGTATTGCTGATGGTTGGTTTATAATTCGTGTATTAGTCCCCCACATTACCCTTAACATTAACCCAAAGAAATTAACCTTACGAACTTAATAACATGGTTACACACAAAGTTGTTCTATGTGTTTTAACACAACGACACACGACTTACCGTCTTTCCAACATTTGGCATGGTGTAGGATACCTAATGCCTTGGCTCAAACATAAAATTCTTAAAAGAGTAGACATAAGCTTACTTCGGGTTTCTCTTATTACCGATTTTGAACCGTCCTAGAACTGTGATGCGTATGCGCAGAAGGAAATATGAAGACATTATTTCATTTGCGCATGCGTTGCAGAGTTCTAGGACGGTTCAGAATCGGTAATGACAAGAACCCGAACAAAGGTATAAATGCTTTCTTGTTGCTGTTGGGCGACATATTAAATTTTTTTGGATATTTAAAAGGTTAATCACAGACAGAACTATCTGTGAGTTAATCTTAGATTATTCAATAATAGTAAAAATAGTATCGTAATAAGTAAAAAATAGAATCGTTGATTGAAGAAATAAGATGCGCCTTATGGGCGATTTTGTAGCACAAAATATGTCCGAAATTAACTGTAACTCGTTTACAGCGCAGCGGATAAAGAATACTGTACCGTAGTTCTGCTTTCAATCGACAGAGTAGGTAGTTTCCGGAGACAGTGTTGCCCGAACTACGAATTAATCCGTAGATTTACCGATTTTGGGTACAGAACGTTAATAAATACGGATTTTCTATCATTAAACAATTTACTATAATATTATATGATTAAACAAAGAACGGCGTCATAGTTGGCTTGGAAATAAAGATCGCTGTTATTTGATATGTAAAATATTATATATATGAAATATCCACTAGGTACATATAAAAAAAATATTTTTGTTGTTTATTCTACATATGTTTAATACGAATAAACTTTCAATAAATAAACACGGATTTTTCATCCAAAGATATTTTCGTCAAACGTATTAAAGATATTATATATTTTAATATGGCAACACTGTCGCTTTCAGTCCCACTCCGTCTTCGATATTATGCCTTCGCTAGCCAAATTAGAGAAAATGTGTGCTTTAATGGGTTCGCCGCAGAACGAGTAGAGGCTCCACCTTGAGACGTAAGGGGAAACCAAAACAGCCTTGTCAATTCTTTCAATCAACGATAGCATGGTTTTGTAAGGTGTATGTTAGTTAAACAGCTCTTTATGCTATTAATAATCATGAACAAATATACGGTAAGTCGTTTAAACTATTAGCTAATTTCTATAAATGTTCATTTCTGTTGTCATTCGCCATTCGATTCCTAAAACACAAAAAAAAACATGAATAAAATAGCAGTAAAACGAAAAAGTGGTCGAAGTGATCGTAAGAATCGATGGCCTAACGGCGCCAGCCAGTCGTCAAGCGTCCATTTCGTGGACACGCAACGAAAAGCTTAAATAGTTTAGCAGAAAAAATTAATATCGAATAAAAAAATACTACCTTACACGTCATACGTCATACTTTATTATAGAGCAAGTATTGGCTACATACTTCAATTTTAATTTTCACATTAAAAACACATTTCGAAATATTTTAGACTTTTTTTTTAAATAAATCTTTAAATAAATTTTTCTTCGAAAAAATGATGATTAAAACAGTTTCTGTTGAACTTTTAGCACAAAAACATTTCAAATTTACGATTTAAATCTAATAACTATTTAGTCAACATGTTTAATTTATCTCAGTGATAAACGGATATGGTACAAAACAAACTTGTCACAAACAAAACATCTAGTCTTTTTATATAATCAATTGCACTTGGTGTTGCCTTCAGGAAATCTCCAAAATCTCCCTCATATGCCGTTAAAGCGCATTCTTCTCTAATATGTCGAACAGTCTGTCGTAGAGCTCCACTATTACATACCGGAGTGGTGGCCTTTCCCCATTTATAGAGAGAATCCATGCACCTACCATGTTCGGTTCTCAGCCTGTTTAAAGTTACCCATATTTTGCGAGGCTGCTCAAAACCAGGAGGAACTGCTGAGATACATGTGAAATCCCGACTTTGTGGTGGAGCGTTTTCCATCCATTCGTTCATCCATGTTTCATATAAGTTGAACTCTGCATTCTCGTCAGTATTCCCAAGTGTTTTTGATGAGAGTGGTGGCTTTCTTGAGCGGAGTCTATTAATATTTAAATCAGCTATGTCACAATGTACTGGTAGTTCCCGGTTTAGCAATATTTTCTTGCGCTCTCTATGTAAAGCCTGTTTTCTCCTCAAGTTAGGAGGAGGTATGTTACTTAAAACAGGCAACCAGTATTTGGGCGTAGTTCGTATAGCCCCGGAGATGATTCGCACTGTGATATTCAGCTGGACATCCACTTTGTTGACATGGGCACTATTCAACCAGACAGGTGAACAGTATTCGGCCGTTGAGTACACGAGGCTCAAGGCTGATGTTCTTAGAGTGGCCGCAGATGATCCCCAGGTAGTGCCGCATAGCTTTTGTAATATGTTGTTCCGTGTGTGTATTTTTGCAGCAAGCTTGGTGAGATGGACCTTAAATGACAGAGTTCTATCCAACGTAACTCCAAGATATGTGGGTTGTCTGTTGTGTGAGAGCCGTCATCCCTCAAAGTATACCTCAAGTTCCTTATTTGCCGCTCTGTTATTGAGGTGAAAAAAGAAGCCTCTGTTTTACAAACGTTTGGTTTAAGCCGCCACTTGCGAAAATACTCTGCTAGTACTGTCAAATCAGATGTTAAGACTTGCTCAGTAACTTCCATTGACCTATGTCCGGTGGCTATAACCCAGTCATCGGCGTATCCGAACTTTCTACATATCGTTTTTGGTATGTCGGCTTGGCTATATACAGGTTGAAAAGCAAGGGTGCTAACACCGATCCCTGCGGTAATCCATTGTTTAGTATTTTCTGCTTACTTATTTTCTTCCCCATAACAACCCGGAAACCTCTGCCACAATCATACTATCAATTAGTTTAATGATCCTCAAACATGGTACTATTCTAATTAGTTTGTAAAGTAGTCCGTGGCGCCAAACAGTGTCGTAAGCTGCAGAGAGGTCTATGAACACTGTGGAGATTTTGTCCTTTTTGTCTCTGAAAACCTGCTTCGATGTATGAGGTCAAAGACATAACTTGGTCCTAGCAACTTCGATTGGGCCGGAATCCTGTTTGTTCTATAGGAATGTTGGCAAATACAATGGGACTCAGTCGATTAGACAGTACTCGTTCGAAAAGTTTACACAAAGAACTTAACAGAGCGATTGGTCGATAGCTTTGTGGGAGATCTGTCGGTTTGCCTGGTTTTAAAATTGCTATAATTTTTCGATGTTTGAGCTTGGCCGGAAAGTTACCGGACTTCATTATAGCAGTGAAAAATCTTGCCAGCCATAGTTTTGTAAACCCACCAGCGTGAATGAGCGTGAAAACCCGGAGATTTTTCGGGTTTCACAGCGGATATCGCCTCGGTAATCTCATCAACCGTAAAGTCCCTTGAGTAGACTGGATTGGCAGTGCAGGCAGCTTTGATGGATTTAAGATCTTTTTTAATACGAGTGGTGGTTTCTCGGTGAGTTTTTCCTTTAGATGTCATGACAATGTGGGATGCTACTTTATTGGGATCGATTGCTATATTTTCACGAAGTGGTCCTTTTCCGCCTCCCAATTTACGTAGGAGGGCCCACGCTTTTCTGTTAGATCTTTTAAAATCTGTATCCTCGGCTGTTTTCATCCACTTCTCTCGTCTAGCACTGTCCAGACTGTGTATAAGTTCGTCTGCTATCTCCCTGTCGCCACTAATTTGAAATTGCTCGTATAATTCTTCGGCGGTCTGGTCCTCTAGGTATATGCTTCTAGGTATAATGCTTCTTTGCTGTACTAATAATTGCACCGACAAATCTCTCGTAGCTCTCCGGGGTTGGAGGAATCCAACCTAAAGTTTTATCCAGGTCTCTGGAATAGGTCATCCAATTTGCCTTCTGAAAATGCCAACGTGGTCGTGGGATTGAACATATTAAAGGAATACTTGAACCAATCTTTATCAACGCTGGGCGATGTTGGCTATGGGGAAAATCAGACAAAATAGTTCGAATTGTTTCTATGATGCGACCATTTAAAAAAATAATCCAGGACCACTCACACTTTTTACCACCCTATGGTAAGTTAAAATATTTTCCTGAAATACATCCTAGTACATACTTAAGGTTTGCACTTAAACAAAATTCCCAAGTTTTTTATTCTAGAAGCTACAGATGCCAGACGCACTATTGCCGGACCCTGTAGTTGTGAATTCACTAATGGTTTCGAGCAACCCCTGAATGCTTCGGTAACCTTCCAAAAAATCATCTGAACTTAGTATTAAATTTCCAACCACCCTCCACTCAACAATCCAATCAGTTTTCCCCATTGATAAAACGCCCGACTACGATATGAAAATAAATTCCTACAATCGAGAGCTTTGCCAGATTTCCATTTCATATAATTCCGGATCTAGAATAACCGGCGCCCCATTAATACGCCACGGTTGCTCTAAAAGGGGCCAGAAAAAAATAGAAGAAGCAAAAAATACAAGGATGGGGGTGGCGTAACAATAGTGACACCCTTTTGGCCTGTAGCCAACCGTTATTAAACGGCCGGAATAAGGGAAATATTTGATCGAACGAAAAAAGGGAGTTGGAGGAATAAGCAACGATTGAAATTGCTGGAAAGCGGGTCATTTCCAGGCTTTGATACGGCTTCCGGCAATCTGGGGATATTACAGAGGAACGTGTACAACGAGAATTGTTTGTAAAAGGGATTTTTTTGAATATAGTGAATGGCTATATTTGCTGGAATGAGCCGGCTTCTTTTAAAAGGAATATCGATAAAAGTTCTATTTTTAAAATGCATTC